GACTCGGCCTTTGGGATCCCCACTCCAAGGGAACCGGGTCATCTCCCCTGGGATTCAGGTGTCGGAGTAAGACACAGGACACCGCCCAAGCTGGCTTCAGAAAGGGGGCATGCCATCCGGATGTCCTCCAGGAAGTCCCCAAAAGGACACGGCCAGGCTATGCCCCCTCAGGGACATCTCCAGGAACCTCTTAACACTCTGGCCTTGTCCCACTTCTGGGGTCCCAGATGCATTGCTGCCAAATGCCTGCCCCGTTTCCCCAGGAGGCCCCTGAACTCTCAGCCTTGGCCTCGACACTTGTTGCCAGCCTCCTTCCCATCCCTCCAGGTCATCCCTGGTGACCTCAGGGAATGCTTTTCCTCAGATGTCACCATGGCTGGCTCTTGCTTCTCCCTGGGGATTCCACTGCCCTCCCTTGTCCACTGGGCTGGGAAAAGGCCCCAGCTCTCAGGTGTGTGACACCTGCCTTCCTGGGTATGCATTTCATTAGCATTTAGTGTTAAAATCTTTTCTTTGGAAGGTTGAATGACAGGGAAGAGAGGAGACAGGTTGTGGGGAGGTAGGGGAGTAGCGAGAGATCTTCCATCTACAGGTTCACTGCCCAAATAGCTCCAACGGTCAGGGCTGGGTCAGGCTGAAGCCAGGATCTCAGAACTCCATGTAGGTTTCCCAGGTCAACGGCCAGGGGTCAAGTCCTTGAACCTACTGCTTTCCTAGGTGCATCAGCAGGGAGCTGGATCATTAGTGGAGCTTCTAGGACTTGAACCTGTGACGCTGGTTTCACAGGCAGCAGCTCATCCCACTCAGCCACGCGCCGGCCCCACCTTGACAACTTCTGTAGCCTAGCATGTTATCCTATCCCTCTTCAGCCTTGTTTTCTCCTTTGCCCTGAGTGGTTGCATGTATGGGACCAAACAAGAAGTTTAAAGTCACCTCTCCATGGAAAGAGCGACGATGGCCAGCTGCAGGCCTGCAGGCTGGGCCCCACCAACACCCCTACCCCTCCCGATGGACATGTTTTGCTAGGAGCAAGTGGCATGCCCAATGTCGATGACTGCTGGTTTTGAGCCGATGTGCAAGGCAATCAGAAGGCATCTGCCTCCTGTATAATTAGACTTCATCACCTCGGTGTGGGGAGTGCTGATTGCTGCTCAGAGACGGCCCCCTGATTTCAGGCTGGAGGGGCCGGAGCCCTCAGCGGCCCTGACGAGGGTAATTGAGGCAGGGCTTGATTGTGCCGGAAAGCTGAAGGGGACCTAGGCAAAGGAACCGGGCCACGTCACACCCCAAACGGGACTACACTTGCTAAATTTGTTTCCGATGCAATTTCATGGTGATTACACCGATTTCTTTTGAGTAATTGAGCCGGGCGCTGAGCTCCATGCCTGCAGCCCTGGCTGTCAGGAAAGGGTCTGTTGGGAGCGGGAGCTACTGATGATGATTTATGGGCCACTGTCAGAGCCCTCGCAGGGAACAGAGCCGGGCAGGCGGGGGCGCTGCCCGGGCGCTCCGGGGCTGGGACACCTCCTGGACTGTTCTCAGTCTGGCTCTGTTGCCTACCACCACGTGACCCTGGACACGCTCGCCGTGTGCTGTGCCCTCCTCCCCGTGGCCACACAGGCTGGATAGGGTCCCCAGTGATGCCTCTCCCTCAGTCCTGAGCCACCTGCCCTGGGATGGGCTGGGCGCTGTAGTGAATGGAAGCACACCCATGCCTTTTTCCCAACCGGCTCCTTAGCTGCCAGGGTGCCCACAACCACAGTGCTCCCAGGCAATGAATGCGTGGGAACTCCAGTCCCAGTCTCAGGCTGTTCAGGGTGGGTCCTGGACCCTGTGGCTCACAATGTACCTCATGCTTCAGCCAGGCCTGCAGGAGCCCTGCCTCATGGGGATTGCTGGAACTGCTGCTCTAAGCAGGGTGCTCAAATGCCAATCCTCTCCTCTGGGGAGAATCAACCAAAGGCCACCGCTGGAACCACAAGCTCTCAGCCTCCATCACAGCTCCCAGCTCAGACCCACCAGTGCCTGGGCATGGCCCTCTGCCTCTGGGGGGCATCAGACACCTCGGGGGTCTGCCAGAACAAACGTCTATGCAGGCAGTCGCTCCCCAGGCCCTGAGTACCTGCTTGCCTCGCCTCTCCCTGGGAGATGCTGTTCTGAGGGCCAGCTGTGCTTCGTGCCCCTGCCTCCTGGCCCTGTGACCTCAGCCCCCAAACAGCAAGAAAACCCAGAGTCAGGAACTTTTAGCAAAAATGTTTAATCTCTCCTTAATGTGTGCGTTGTATTTACAAGTACTAAATCTGAAGAACAGTAAAATAGGAAATAGCCGTCTATTTACATATCTACGGGCCGAGCGCCCAGCAGCTACCAGGCTTCTGAGAGAAGCTGTAGCCAAGGTCAGCTTGGACCGTCTGAGTGGTCACTCTTCTTTTGGGTGGGGGCTCTTCGGCATTAAAGGACAGCTAATTGTGGACTTCGTCTTAAAAATATCTTTCTCTCTCTAAATAGATCTACTCTAGCTCGTGTAGCACCAACGACGGCAGCCGTCATCCGCAACTGGGGGCAGAAGGGGTAGGGCCCCTGGGTCCCTCGGAGGAACTTGATGCCAGGGGTGGTGGGGAAGGGTCCTGGGGTACCCCGCTTCCACAGCCCCTGGCTCCTAAGACCAAGGGAGAGGCAGGCCTGGGGTATAGTGGCCGTGGGCTGGGAGTTCAGGGCCAGCTCGAGGTATATCAAGAAGCCAGGCTCCCAGGCCCAGGAGTGAATTGTCCCGAGCACCCCCGCGATCAGGGGTGGGGAGGGAGAGAAACGCTGGGGCAGGGGCTGTAAGAAGCAGGTGGCCAGAGGAGGGTGGCAACAGTAGTAGTGTCTGGGTCAGCTGCACCAGCACCCGTGCCATCATTGCTGAGACCCTGGGGTGTCCGGGAGCATCACACAGGCACATGGAGTGGGTTCCAGTCCCTACTCTTTTGTACCCACCTGCCACTTCCAGATCAGAGCTTGGGGTTAGAGACCCCACAGTAGAGCACCGGGGAGTAATAAAGGGGGCCCAGTTTGCGTGGCAGAGCTGGGAGGCCTATAAGGGACCAGAGGCAAGGAGGGGGCCGAGGTGCCCTCCACCAGCTGGCGGGGACCCCCGGACGTCTGCTGTCTTGGGTGCGGTGCCCCGAGTCGGCTTCATCATGTGTATGTAAACAGATAGTGCTAAAGTGCTTGCGGCCAGATACCACACCGCTTGCTCCAAGGCTCTCACTCCAGGTAGGGCCAGATGCCCACCCTACCAGCCCACCCACATGGACAAGGGCAGCCTTGCAGGGCTGGCCCAGGGCCCTTTTCTACTAGGGCCAGGAGGCAGGGACTGGATCCTGGAGGGGGCAGCAGAGGGGAGGAGGCACCCCCCCCGGCCTGAGTGGGCAGGACTGGAAGAACTGGGGGCTTCAATGTGAAGCCAGAGTCCAGGGAAGACTTCGGGGAAAACAGAGGCTTCTGCCTGGGCCAGGACAGGCAGCATCAGAAGGGAGGCGTGGGGGACACACTCAAGGATGGGAACCCCAGCTAGCACAGGGCGGGCCACCATGGTCAGTCCCATCTGGCTCCGGCCCAGCCCTGGTTTGCCCAGGCAGGAAATCCCGAGCTACGGCAGCCACCTGCGGGGCTAAGAGCTCCCTGAGTCACAAGTTCATCCATCTCATGCCGACCCCCACCCATGTGGGGAGGAGCTCCTCACTCCACCTGCTGGGGTCTGCTGTGGCTCACGCTGCTGCTTGGGAAAAGGGGGACCCTGGAGGCCAGCAGCCTGTGGGGGAGGGGAAGGGGTGGAAGGGCTCAGGGCACTGGGGCTGAGTCTGGCCACAGTTAGCTGTCCCTTAAAGTCCATGAGACTCCTTTAGTACCATCAAAAAAGTGAACTTGAAAAGGGGACAGGCCGCTTGTTTGCTTTTACAAGTGACTGATTAATAAAAAAAAAAAAAGTAATAAAAGGGGGCTCTAACAACCTCTAGTATTCAACACTTGCAGTTTTAAAAAGATCAACTCAGACTAAACGCTAGCACGATCATGCACAACCCACAGGCTCCGCACACCCTGGCAGGGCGGAGTAGCGGTGACAGTGGTGGTGGGGGGTGGGGGAGGCCCCTTCCCTCTCCACACCTACCCCCAGCTCTGGGGCCAGTCCACTGTGGGAAGGCTATGGACCCTTTCCCCGCAGCCCCGCCTCCAGGCAGCCTTCCCACCACCTGCTTGCCCTTGTTCTGTTGGTATTTAAAATCCTTTCTCCTTCAGTTACCTGTACAGCACCCCACTGGGGCCAGAGACGGAGGCCAGAGCCACACATATATACACACACATATATATATATATATGTACAGGTGTGTTTCTATTAAAAATGTGTTCTCTCTCACTTGGGGAGGGCAAAGAGGACAGCTACTGACCTCCAGACCTCTGGACACTGCCTGTCGCTCACAGGTGGATTGCCAGAGGTGTACTGGCATAGCCTTCGCCACCCAAGCAGAGGGCAGCTGATTTCTTGTTCCCCTTGGAGAAGGAGATCGGTCTTCAGCTGTCCCTCTGCTGCCGAGATGCCGGACTGGGAGCCACTTGGGGTGGGGAGGTGAGGAGGGGCAGGTGCACAGAGCTGCCCTCAGGAGCCCTGGGGGAGGCGGGCATTGCCCAACCCTTGTGAGCAGCTGCTGGGGGCGGTACCAGGAGCAGTGTGGGGCAGGACAATAAATAACAGGACATGTGCTCTGTGGCCCAGGGCCCCAGCCCTCCCTGGGCTCCCACAGGCACAGTCCTGAGCACAAACAGGGTTGCCTGGTATGTCCGAGAGTCCCTCGGGAGCCTGGGCAGAGGCCATCTGCAACCCCTCCATAGGAGGGGGTGGGGCCTCTCGGGGCAGGTGGCCTTGGCCGCGCGGAGCACGCGGTGAATCTGAGGATGGAGGTGGTGGTGCGGCGGACATGAGGATGCTGGCCAGGGAAGCTTGGCAGCGGCGGCGGGCCTGGGCTTTGGCGTATCTCGGATGGCCCTAGGCATTTTGCTTCTCCCTCGACGGATATTGTGGCTTGGGAAACTGGGGGCTTCTTCCTGGCTCCCTGTCCCAGCCTCGAGGACACTGATGGGCCAGCTGCCCCTTGCTGTGAAAGGCCCCGGCTTCATTCCTTGGCCCCTTGGGGGCTGCCCTATTCTCCCACAACGACTACCATGCAGCAAGGGTCCTGGGCCAGTCCAGCCACTCTATGCTCTCCCAGCTCCGGGCACAGAGGGGGCCCAGCAGGCACCATGGCATCCTCACCAACAGAAGGCAGAACTCCAGCTGGTGGGAAGAGAAGGGGAGGACCCAGAGGAGGCTGGACCACACGCCTGGTCCCTGAGCACCTCCCGGGCACCCTGCATGGCAGGCCAGGGCTGCGCTCACACTCTGCCTCCCACCGGGTGGTCAGTGGCCAGGCTCAGCTGCTCAAGGCCATCGTGTCCACCACCTGCTCCAGTTTGCTCCGCAGCCGCTGCCGCCGGGCCTGCTCATCCTTCTCCAAGGCAGCCAGGATCTGCAGGTAGGCAGGGATGGGGGCATGCATTGGTGGGCTGGGCCAGCTGCCCATTTATATGGAGTGGGTACCTGGGGTGTCTCAGGCTTGAACCCTCCTGTCTCCAGAAGAGGAATAGGGGGTTTTACCCTGAAGCCCCAGGGACTGGAGTCCTCAGCCCCACCTTCACCCCAAGTCTGTGGACAGCAGCCTCTCCACAGCAGGGTACCTTGGAAAACCTTTCTCCCCTGCCCACTCCCACTGGACCCCAGGGCCGCGTGCCTTTCTCCCCATCCCCTGAGCCAGCACTGCCACCATGCCATTGCTTGTCCTTCCCATTGTCTCAGGGCATCGGTCTAGGGACCCCCCCACTCCCTCTTGGGGCTCCTGCAGCAGAAGCTGCAGGACTTGAGCGACCTCTGCTCTGTACCACATTCAGCTCCTGACCTGCCCGCAGTCCCCTACCCTGCTTAGCTAATGACCCCCACACTCCCCTGGCACCCAGGCTTTGGGTGCCCAGAAGAACTCCAACTCTAAGTCCTGGCCCGAGGCCTGCGCCTCCGGCAGCTCTCCTCACCTTCAGTCGGGGCAAGTCTGGCCCCTGCACTCACACCCAGAACCCATGCACTGAACACCCTGCCTCTGGTCCCAGCACCCAGGCAGCCTTGGCTGATCCATTCCGCAAGTCTCTCCTGTCCCCTAAGCTCTTGTGTGCCCTGTCACAGGCCAGGACTGAGTGCTAGTCTTGCTACTGGACACCCTGGAGGCCTAATTACATTGGTGTGGATGACAAGGGGAACTCTGAGGAAGCAGAAAGGAAGCTAAAGGACAGGACAAGAGTCTACTGGACCCTGGGGACATCCCCCCAGGCCACCAATCCCCCTAACAGCATCCCAACTCTCCGCAACAGAAACAGTCACACCCACCCTCAGTTCTCCACTGTGCAAAACCAGACACCTCACCCTACCCTTCCTGGTGGCTATGGGCCCAGCTGGCTCTGCCCCTCCGCCAGGATCCCCTGACTGCCCCCGGGGCTCAGGCGACTTCAGGTGCTCAGGTACACAGGTGCACAGGGGCAAAGACAGGGTGGGCACTGAAGAGGGAAGCCCTTCTAGCAGGTGCTACCTCCAGGGCTGAGCAGGAAGTAGGCAGGGCAAGAGGCTGCTGGGCACACTCACCTCGTCCTTGTACTTGGTGATGTAGGAGTAGATTTCGTGCAAGGCGCTCATGCTGTTAAACTGGCTCAGGTGCAGCCGAGACTGCTCGGCCAGGTACGCGCTCATGTCCTGATCACTGATGGCGGGCATCTTGGCAATGTCAGCATAGTACCTGTTGGCAGGTATCCAGCGGTGAGCTCTTGAGTGGGAACCTAACCCCCTGCCTGCCCTCCCCCTCTGCCCCCCCTGGCTGCCCACCTCTCCACCCAGCTTTTGTAGTTGGGGATGTCCTTGGCATAGAGCAGCTTGTTGGAGGGTGAGTCCTTGCCCAGCTTGTGCTCGGATGTGGAGCAGGAGTCCATGAAGGTCTGGGCCACCACCGACAGGCAAGCATCCGTGATGCTGTTCTTGTGGATGTCAAACACAAACTGCGGGTTCTTGATCACATTCACCCAGAAGCGCAGGGGCAGGCTGCAGGCAAGTGGGCACAGGGTCAGCCTGCCCCCCTTTCCAGACGGGCTCCTTCCCACCCAGCCAGGTCTCCGAGCCACAGCCCACATCTGTGTAAGTGTGAAATGACCTTAGCCAACAACATGGCTCAGTGCCTTTGTGAGCTTCCTCTGGCCCAGGCCTCAGCTGGCAAATGCTACAGCTGGTAGACAACCCCAGCCTGCACGGACCCAGTTACTGCGACCAGCCCCCATTCTCACACTGGCAAATCTCTGCCCAGTGCACAAGCTCAGGGCCCCACCCATGTGCACACAGACCCCACGTCCCCACCACAGTCTGATGCGGGTGCTCGTGCAGCAGAGCAGCCTCAGCCCTGGGCCCTGGCCAGCTTGGCCTCAGCGGATGCCTTGCGCAGTTACCAGTTGCTCTTCCACGTGTGGCGCACGTCAGCATCGTGGATCTGGTGCTTGTCAGCCTGCTCATCCAGGAAGTCAAACATGTACTTGATGGCCAGCGGCAAGGCTGAGCCCCGGTGTGCAGTGCTGAAGATGGTCTCAAAAAGGTCGTCCACGAACTTCTGCAATGTGCCCTGCAGAAGGCCAGGGATTGAGAGCTCAGGCCTCAGCCAGATGGCCCGTGGGAGACAGGTGAGAGCCGGCTTCTGCATATGGCTGTGGCCCAGCTGTTCCTCTCCGCCCCCAGTCCCCACACCTCCTGGGGCCTACCTTGGTGGCCAGCAGCCGCGTCAGGTAGATCTCTGAGACCATCTTGCTGCCCCGGTCACCCTCGCGCTGGTCCAGGTGGTCATGGTTCTTCACCAGGTGCCACAGCTTGGTGCCGCTCTCCAGGTCGGGCGTGATCATGGGCGTGCGTGAGCGCAGGCTGTCGGGGCTGCTGGCTGTGCGCAGCATGCTCTCTGCAGGCATGGGGCCATCAGCACTCCCACCCAGGCCCACCTCTGCAGACGCTCACCCCTGTCCGAGCCTTGGCCTCCCTGGGTTGCTGGGGACAGCCAAGGACATTGGGAAGGGACATAAATGTGCTGGGGCATACCCTGCCAGGAGAGGCCCAGCCTGCAGTTTGAAAGCAAAGCTGGGGATCCAAGGGGCAGGTGTGATGACAACACCATTGAGCAGCCCAGGATGCCCCCCAACCCTGTCCCACCTCTACCTCCACCCCTCACCATATCTGCTGAGGGATTTGGTGAAGGTGGACGAGTTGGAGATGTTGTAGGCAGACGTCTGCTTGGGCACCAGTGCCACTGAGGACCCGTCCGTCACCTGTGGGCAGAGGGTCAAGGCCTGTGCGACGCCTGCAGATACCACTATGCTGAGGGCCCCGCACAACACCCCTGGGCCTGAGCCTGGGGGTCTGTTTCCCAGGTGGGGCAGGGCCAGTGCGGGGCCTGGGATGGCCCCATAGCCTCTGCCCCTTTCCTTCTGCCACTTGCCACCTGCCACAGTCCTGGTTGTCCCCTGGGCAGAGGTTCCTGACAGCAGCAGTGTGAGCTGCCGAGTGTCCAGGAAAGTGAGCTCGCCCTACGGCTGGAGGGCGGGGCTGGGGCCTACCTGGTAGTGTGCCAACGTGTTCAGCCTCTTCCAGTCATTGTCGATCTTAGTGGTGACGTCTTCGTCCTGCAGGATGATGCGCGCCATACGGCCCTGGCGCCACTCTGTGGGGAGCAGGGCACTGAAGGCTGGGTCTGGGGCCTTATTCCCTAGACTGGTGACTTCCTGACCCATGCATGAGGCAGGCTGCGTGGGCCCTGGAGCAGGGCCACAGTGGAGTGAGGCCCCTCCTGCTCACACAGCTCCTCCCACTTGGCTGTGGCCTCTGTACTTGCTGTAGGGCCCTAAGCTCAGGGGCCTCCCCTTGCCTTCCCAGGACTCCAAGTGCACTTCTCAGCCTGGCAGCTGCCTCTTAGCTGGGCTCAGCCTGACACTTGCCTTTTAGCCACACTGCCCGCATGACCCCCACAGTCCTGCCCCAGGAGCCACAGCCCCTGGCTCCATGGGCCCACGCAGGGCAGCACTCTGCCATGGTCTACCTGTCCCCCGTCTGCTTCACCATAACTTTCCAACCTGCTGTGGAGGCCCCCAACCTCTCCCACCAGCTGCCCTGTCCAGGGCCCTCCTCAAGCCTAGCCCCTCACCCAGGTCCATGTCCCCAGCCTTGGGCCTCTGGGAGTAGGGGACGCCCTTGTACACGGCGTCCAGCAGCTTCTCCTTGACCTGCGTCACTGTGTCGCAGTTCAGCCCCTTCACAGGCACCTCGGGTGCGTTCTCGTTCTCAGGGATCACACAGTTCAGGGTCTGCAGGGAGCAGGGAAGGAACTGCGTGATTCTGAGGGTGTGGGGAGGAGCGGGCCACCGGGACGGCAGGGATAGCTGGTGGTGGCCGGGCTCTGAGCCTCTGGCCTCCTTACCAGGGTCTTGTAGTCGATCTGCTGCCGGATGAGCTTGTCCTCGCTGAGGGAGTAGCGGGCCTCACCCGTGATGGCGTCGATGGGGCCCTTCTCCATCTGCTGCTTGATGGCGCAGTACAGCATGAACAGCGGCTCCCCAGCACACTCCTACAGCCAGGCGGGGCATAAAGTTGTAGCCAGCACCCCCTCAGGCTCCCAGCACAGTCCCCTCTCTGACCCCAGCCCCTCCGGTGCCAGCCACACTATTCCCAGGCAAGGAGAAACAAGTTCTGTGACGGAGATCTCTCGAGGAGGCTGCTCTGTGCCTTGGGCTTGCAGAAAAACGAGGAAGTACAGTGGAATACAGAGGCTACAGCCCCAGCACTCTTCTGAGATGTGAGTGGTGGAGCATGGGTGGCCCAGTAAGATTTCTGCCAGAAGGGCCCGGTGCAATAGCGTAGTGGTTAAGGTCCTCGCCTTGAGCGCACCGGGATTCCATCTGGGTGTGGATTTGTGTCCTGACAGCCCCGCTTTCTGCCAGCTCCCTGCCTGTGGCCTGGGAAAGCAGTCCAGGACGGCCCAAGGACTTGGGACCCTGTACCCATATGGGAGACCTGGAAGAGCTTCTGGCTCCTGATTGGTTAAGCTCCGGCGGTTGTGGCCACTTGGGGTATGAACCATCGGATAGGGGATCTTCCTCTCTGTCTCTCCTCCTCTCTATATCCGTCTTTCCAGTAAAAATAAATAAATCTTAAAAAAAGATTTCAGCCAGCAGATTCCACCCTGATGTCCTCAGACCCCAGTGGGACCTGCCCCCAGGACCTACTCACTGAGCCTGACTGTGGCAGGGCCAGAGCAAGCAGCTCAGGGTATGCAGCCCAGAGAGCCTGCAGCATGCATTCTAAGCAATCATGAGCTCAGGCTGTTTGCAAGGACATGACCTGCAGAGGCTCTGCAGCCAGAGGCAAGGAGGCCATACACCCCAGGGCCTGGGGCTGTAGCATCCTGCAGGGGTAATATCTGCCACACTGCGGCTGCAGGGATGCCTCCAGCTGCTGCCTTGCAGCCTTTGCATTGCAGCCCCTGCAACTGGAACTCCCTCTGGAGTCTACCCAGCAAGTCTTTGCAAACCCCCTGGATCTACCCAGCACCCCATTTACACAAGGACCTCTGAGCACCCGCTACTCCTACCCCAATGCACACACCCCAACATACAAGACGCCCTTAGAAACAACCTTGCTGTTGCTGCAAGAGAGGTGGCATGAGGGCCAGGGCACAAGTGGCTCACTCACACCTAGTCCCCGGCATCCAGCATGGCGCCTGACAAGGGCTCCAGACACTGGCATCACAAACTGAATGACAATTTACCTAAGTGAAACATTCCTGTTGCCAAGCAAAGTGAAAATGCTGACCGGATGGAAGTTGGTTTGGCCCTGTCGGCCCCCAAGGGTCAACCCTGTCCGCAGCCAGCAGTGCCTGGGTGGGCGGCAACCACTGCATAGGTGAGACCCTGGCAGGGCCTGGGCTTAGGATCTTTTGCAGGCTTGGCCATCTGATGGCGTTCAGAAGGCCTGAGTGTGCCCCTGGCGAGCAGCAGGCCAGGTCAGCCCCCAACTGGGCCCTTGGCAAACAAACAGTGGCTCTACCCAGTAACCAGATGCTCTGGATGCCTCGTTAGCATCTGCGGTAATTAAAGAGACAGCTGCTGAGGAGCAGCCACAAGCATAGATCATCCAGAGACCTTGCGACAACACGACAACATGCCTGTCTCTGAAATTATGTTTCATTTGCAAACTTGGCTTCATTAAGTTGGCTGGGGAGGGGAGTGGGGCTGGACCAGGGTGGTGAACCAGCTGCCTCTCTTCCTGGAAATGCCATCTGATGGGAGCGACTGGGGCACAGGGATCTTGCAGGGTCCCCAGTCAAAGCAGCATGGTCAAAGCCTCTGATGAGGTCAGGGGAGCCAGGTGGTCTGCCTGAGGTTGTATGGCAAGTAACTGGAGAATCTAGGACTCAAATCCAGACCTGGGGGAAGGCGGCCCTGAGCACTTCTTCAGCACCTGGGTAGGGGCTGCAGAGGAGGAAACAGGAGCGGACAAAAGCCAGGAAAGAGGCAAGTCCAGAATTAAAGGCCTTGGGCCCAGTGCTGGCCACAGGTATGAAGAAATCACCTGGTGAGAAATGGTGTGTCCCAAGTAGGACGCTAACATGGGCAGCCCAGTGAGTGGCATGTGCACAAAACGCTTCTCCACCCCAGGGATTCTGACCTCATCCCGAGATCACACCACACACAGACACAGACATCACTTCCTGGTCTAACACAGCAGCAATGAGAGGTAAGAAATCCCATAATCTACTAAAATAAATAGCCTAGAGAAATGACCGAAGGCTAATGACAGACATTTGTAAACTTGGCTTCAAAGAAGAAATATGAGTTTCCATTAAAGCACAGAGGCAATGCTCAGCCGGTGAAGGGTCTGGCGGCTGGGGCGACACCCTCCAACCTGCTCCCGCCAAACGGACAAGCAGCAGAGAAATCCAGGGCTCCCCGAGGGCAGCGTCCCAGATGGAACAGGACGATGCACCAGCAGTCAAGCAGAAAACAGAGCGTGTCTGATGGTCAGCACCTTCCGAAGTCCACTCAGACACCAGCACCGCGAACCACAACTGCACTAGTGGCCACAAAGGGAAGAATCCAACTCTTCCTAAGGCAACAGACATGTAGCAAATTACACAGTTGTTAAGGAAGGACAGGGTGGACCCTAGGTCCTTGCCTGCTAGGGTGGGCGAGGCACTTTGTTCAGGGGCGGAGAAGGAAGACAAGGTGTACAGTGCACTCAAAAGGAGAAAAAGGGTCCAACAGCAGGATCCCTCACAGGACAAAAAGTACATTCACTTCACAACTGTTCATCTCAGTTCAAAGACCAGTGTGGGAAGACAGGCACCAGACGCTGCCAGCATTGCCCACAGAATAGTAGAGGGCACGGACACTGGGCCCTTCCCTTGCTTGCATTTGCTATGGAGACCGTGAAATGAGCACGCATGACTTTCTGGTTACAGGCTTTTGTTTCTAAGGCTGGTGATGGTGTTGGTTAAGCCACTACCTGCAAAGCCAGCATCCTATATAGGGAACTGGTTCGTGTTCTAGCTGATCTACTTCTGATCCAGCTCCCTGCTAATGGACCCAAAAAATCAAGCTGCACAAGGTGACCCTAGTGCTGGGGCCCCTGTGGCCACGTGTGAGATGGGAAGAAACTCCTGGCTCTTGCCTTGAGCTGGCTTAGCCTTGGCCATTGTGGCCATCTGCAGAGTAAACTGGCAGCTAGAAGATCTTTCTCTTTCCCTCTTTCAATAACTCTTTCCAAGAATTGGAAAAGATATGGTTGTTGAAAAATAACCTAAGCTCGGGCCAGTGCGGTAGCCTAGTGGCACATCCTTTGCATGTGTTGGGATCCCATATGGGCGCCAGTTCATGTTCCAATGGCCCCACTTCCCATCCAGCTCCCTGCTTGTAGCAGTTGGGAAAGCAGCTGAGGATGGCCCAAAGCCTTGGGACCCTGCACTCATGTGGGAGACCTGGAAGAAGCTCCTGGCTCCTAGGTTCAGATTAGCTCAGCTCCAGAGGTTGCAGTCACTTGGGGAGTGAGCCATGGGAAGGAAGATCTTCCTCTCTGTATATTTGACTTCCCATTAAAAATCTTAAAAAAAAAAAAATAACCTAAGCTCTCCAAGTCCATGTGTGTATGCCATGGGCCAGGGTTCCCCTCCTTTTGACAGCTGCATAGCACTCCTCTGCAGATGGCAGTCCCTCGGGGGCATCAGTCCTAGGACCCATGGGAACGCCTGGCACCTCAGAGAGAACCCACTCCTACACACACTATGCTTTATGTGCAATCCTGTCTAAATTTGTTCCTAGCCTGTAAGCCACCCTGCGCTCACAGTAGAGGTTTGTTTCTGGAGTCCCCTACTGAAGTCACTGGACGGTGCTCACTGCTTCGTCCCTGAGAACACAATCCGTCCACAGACAGGCTGCCGTTTCTACCTTACCTGAGCGCTTCAATCCCATTGCCACGACTCCCATGGCTTGAAGAGGCATGGCAGTGGGACCAGCAGGACTTACTCCTGGGCCACGAATGTGAGGCCATTCCTGCCTAAGTGTTGGCACCATGGGCATAAGACTGCTTTCTTTTCTTAGTAGGAACTTCCACCTCCCACTCCCCATGGGAAAGCACTTGCGGCTTCTCCTGGATGCGTTCTAATCACTAGCACCACCACACGTGGGGCCACTATGATGTAAATGCAGCGTGACAGACACACACGCACTGTACTACCCCAGCAGGTGGGCAGTACATGCAGTGTGGACGCACAAAGGGACAGAGAATTGGGCACAAAACCGGAAATCTAAGCATTATTCAATGTTTTGTGACTTCTCATTCAATGTTTTCAGCTCACAGTGGGACCCTGGTTCACTGAAAACATAGGAAATAAAACTCTGCTGCACAAACCCTCTCCACATGTCCCCTCTTGCTGGCACACTCCTAGGCTGCTCTACACTGCCTAGTGGGGTCAGCCAGCCACACAAAGACAGGGACCGTCTGACTGTCCCTGAACCAGGCTGCCAGGCCAGTTGACGTCACAGAGGGAACTACTGGGGCCAATGGGGCTACTGGGGTGTGACAGGTGAAGAGTAGTTCAGTGGAAGCAGAGGCCTGGTCAGCGGTGGACAGACTGGGGTGACAGCCAGGGAACACGATGAATGTGCAGAAAGCCTTCCACGATTCAACCAACCAGAGCTGGGATGCACTGGCTGAGGTGGGGGTGCTGAGCAGCACTGCCTCACACAGGATGGCGGCCAGCAGCCCTGGCACCCCCACTGTGAAGGGTCACAGGCATCCAGAGAAGGGTGGGTGCATGCAGGAGTGAGCTTGTTCTAGCCCATTCCACAGCAGGCTCCTGGATGTCTGTGAGCTGTCCTCCATTGACACAGAGGGGCTGCAGCTGAACCCCACATTCCAGGATGGTGACGATGGCAGGTTTTATGCTATGCGCATTTGACCACAGCTGAGGAAATCTGTGGCATGCCCAGAAGGAACAAGCGGTTGGGCCGTGAAAACACATGCAAGGGCCTCAAATGCACGTGACAGAGTGAGATGAGCCAATCTGAAAAGACTGCTGCTGTGTGAGTCTGACTCTGATTGCCTTCTGGAAAGGCAAACCCAGGAGAGCAGGAAGAGCTGGGCTCCCAGGACTTGGCGGAGGAATAGGTGAACAGGACAGGGCATGGCAAGCTCTGCCCAGGATGCTATAGCACCACACACGGCGCTGTATGCTGACCGAAGCTGATAGGATATGCGATACCAAGAATGGACCAGTGCCACCCGAGGCCTTTACTGTGGCCGATGATGGGTCAGGAGGTCATTAAACTGTGACAGATATTCTACTGGGGAGCAAGGGGTGCAGACTCCAGAACTTGAAAACTGCACACACTCCAAGTCTCAAGGACATTTTGATACCCACATCCTGCTGCATATGGTAGCATTGCCCAAAGCCCTGTCCAGAACCAGGAATAGCATAGCTCAGCCGGCTTACCCACTTTGTATCTTTAAGACAGAGATGACACAGTCCACAACAGAGTGGGAACTGCAGTTAGAACCCGTGTCACAAGTTGAGAAAAGGCACAAAACTCAAATTCGAAACACAGTTGTGATCACAGAGCATCCTAAGGGGAGGGACCGTCCAACGGGGTGGGGTTGTACACGGGTGATGTTGGTGTTTTGCTCTCACTTCACCGTGAGCCCAGAGCTGCGGGTGGGATCTGCCTGTAGCCTCTATCAGGATGCCTTAGGCTACAGCCCCCAGCACTATCTCCATATCCAGCCTGATGCTAACGCAGCCCCGGAAGGCAGTGGCAGATCAAGCAGGTGGGTTACCAGCCCCTGCAGGCACAGAGAGCACATCTGCCCCATTCTCTGTCTCTCCTGGGGTAGGAACACAGATCCTTCCAGAAGACGTAAGGCCCTGGCTGGACCCAAGTGCAACTCATGCACTACACAATGCCCCAGCCCTGCAGAAGACAGAGTCCATGCCTGGCTCAGTACTCAGGTGGGGAGCTGACCACATACAGTCTGCTCATCTGGGTGTGAGAGCCACAGAGGCTGGGTGAGCTGCATACCAGGTGCACCTGCTCAATCCTCTTGGTGCACAAATGACTGACGTGACAGAACGTCATTTTAACAGGAAATGCATGACTGTTAAATGCTGACAGCTCTGTGTGCAATGATGTTAGCATTATGTTGGGGACCATTGTATGCACAAGGACTTATCACCTCTAGTTCTGCTCAGAGGTGACAGTGCCCAGAGCAGAGTCCCTGCTGAGCTGAGCAGCACCCTGCTGAGGGACAGCTGAGTGCCTGCAAGCCAGCAGAAGCACAGGCACCAGCCCAGCATGCTGTGAAGACAGTAGGACATTTGAACCCAGGCAATCAGGTGATCCACACCAGCCCCACCTTCTTCCCCTGGGCCACAGAGGCAGGACACCTGCAACTGGAGAGTGTCAGCCAGGAACACAGTGACCAGGCACACGCTTACTGCATACACAGGGTGTGACATGGGAGCCTGCTGCTCCAAGCTTGTGACAACATGCACAACACCGCCAGCCAGGTGGCACTTGATGCATATGGCAGCTCAGCAGCACCTGCAGTGCAGGTGGCTGATCCCACAAACTACAGCTCAAATACAACTGGCAGGGCCACATCCAGTTGGCAGTGGTGGGCAGGCGGGGGGAAGAGGCTGTACTCCGCCTTATACTTTCATCCTTCCTCTCCTTAGCCTGGTGCCCCTGCCCTTGCTGCTTCCCTCCCATTCTTGGCTCTGCTCGGACACCTGGCCCCATCCTACCTTGAGGAACTTGTATAAGAGGAATGTGAACCAGTTGGTCAGCATCTTCTCGGCCACCGACTCAGTTCTAGGGAGTGGAGAACAGCAGGAGACCAGCTGGCATCATGTCACCATGCAACAGCAGACTTCCCGCCATGGCCCCTAATCCTGACCCCAGGCAGAGATGAAGACCACAGAAGCCTGCTGTGGACGGTCCAGGCTGCGGTATGTGACCTCAGGCCTGGCACTGACTGCCCTATGTAGTACTAGCACATCCAGGTCCCTGCTACTGATGTCTGGCCTGCAGAGGCCGAAGCTCAGGGACACAATGGCTGGCCCCCCACCCTTTACCCAGGAGACAGGACAGGCACCAGCCTAAGGCCTGGCCCGTTGCTCACCGGCGCAGCAGCAGCTTGGGGTGGTTCTTGCTCTCCAGGTTCTTCTCGATGAGGTCGGACAGCAGCTGTTTGAGCACGCCTGTGGCATATTCCATCTCACCCTGCAGGGCCGTCATGATGAGCGATGCCACGTTGCCACGGTCGCGCATGGAGAAGCTGCGCTGGGCCTCTAACGTACGGATGAAGGTCAGCAGGAAGTGCTTCTTGGTCAGCAGCTGCCCAAACAGCGTTAGTGACTTCTCCACATTGGCCTGTACCTGTGGGAGCACACAGTGTGGGGCTGTCCAGGCCTGGTGGCTACAGGCAGGGAAGACCCAGACAGTAGGCCCCAAGGGTAGTGGCATGTCATGCTGGCCCCTCAGAGCCAGTGGGTCAGTCTGCAAGGCTCGCCTGTTCTTGGCAGAAAGGATGTGACCTGGAAGCTGCCACTGTTCTCTACTGCCATCTGGATGGCCTTGGGCAGGGCCCTGCCATGGCCAGACCGGGGAAGCCTACTGCAGACAGGGAGGTGACACGGGTTCGGCTGGTGCTGCTGAGTGTGAAAAGCACTCAGAGTCCAGTGGAAAGGCTGTCCATGTGGTGAGTGAGGACAGTAGGAGAGGTCCTAGGGAGGTAGGTGTGGGCAGCCCCAACCTGGCAGCAGGAGGTGGGCAGAGTACCCTGGGGTGACCAGGAGCATGGGGAGGGTGAGTGCCCAGTGCATCCCACAGACGTCAGTCCCTGGGAAAGAACCAGTACTCAGGCAAGATGATGGCATGCTAAGGGGATGCCAGGTCCTGGGCATTTCTTATTGAGGTCATCCTGCTCTCTGTCCCCAGGGAGCCTTGCAGGTGGTGGGCAGCGACAGCCTGCTTCCCGCTGTGAGGCCAGTGGCCCTACCTCCATCTCCTTGAGCACGGGGTGGTCCTCAATCCCAGGAAAGAGTACCCGCATGGCGTACGTGCGATAGTCAAGGAACGGGATACCAGCGCCGTCCAGGTCATTGGTCAGCTCGTGGATGTCCGTCTGCAGCTCTGCGAAGGCTGTGGGCAGCAGGACATGGTGTCAGTGGCTGTACCTTGTGTCAATCTCCAGGGCAATGATCAAGGTCTGGCACATGAGAGCAAAGCTGGCTGAGCTGGGTGGGGCTTCCAAGGCCTCAGATACTGTTAGTGGGGGTGGAGCCACTTTGGGGCACTGCCTCCTTCCACCAGCCAGGAAGGAAGGGGTGCAGTCAGGTACAGGAGGTGGCAGGCAACAGAGCCCCAGGGCCAAACAGCTGCAAGCTCACCCCCTCACTCTGACAACCCCCACGTGCATACCTTTAGCCCATAGAGGGCCCCCTTCCCAGTGCAGCCCATCCCCAACCAACTCTGCCTCTATCAGGAACAAAGGCAAGCAGAGCAGTGGAGCAGCCCCATGGAACATTCCAGAGCCATGAGGTGTCCGCTCAGCAGCTGCCTGAGGGAAATGCTATCTGATCGTGAGCCAGGGGAGCGCCAGGAAGGCTGGGGGAGGGGGCCGAGCCTGGTGGGTTGTACTGAGAGCTGGGGCCCACGGTCAGGCTTGTGGTATCCTATAATACTCACAGGCCACCATGGCCCACCTACCAGCCACCTAGCTCCCCATACCTGTTCACCAAGATTGTCCTCAGGACAGGTGGGCAGGGAGAGCCCCAGCAGACCCTAGGCCACTCAGGTGTGAGTCACAATCTGGGAGCCCCTGGGATGTAAAGGGCTGAGTACCCCATCCTGGGGGCCGGGAGGCTTGGCAGTTCCCAGCCCTGACACAGGAATGCTCCAGGGTCTGCATCATGCCTTGAATGATTTATCACCAAGGCTTGCCTAGAATGTTTTATCACCAAGGCTGCATTCCCTGCCACCCCACAACCACAGTCTCTAATAGGCTCACGGCAGAGCCTGGAGCCACAGCAAGGTGGAAGCTGCACCAGGGAGGCCCGGGGCCTTGGAGTCCAAGGCATCACTGCCCACTACAGCTGGCTCCCAGTCAGCTACCCAGCAGCAGACCTCACCCCCTCAGCTGGCTCCCAGGAAGCCTGGACTGCATGGACTTCCCATAGCTCCCAGCCTTGCTGCCCAGAGCCCCTGTGCTCAGGACCCTGGGCAACGCCACACCAAGATGTGTGGGAATGGCTCTGGGGCTCCACCGTGCCCCTCTGGTTGGGCCCTTGAACTCCTCCTTCCCACTGCTGCTCATGGCTGCTGCTCAGCCCCTTGCTCCCGGCACCAGCCAGTGCAACTGCGGTCCCCAACTGCCCAGAATCCAGTCCACTCTCTCTGGGCCACATCCCACCTGGTCTTGGGGTCAACTCGCTCTTAGCCCAAGGATTCAGGGGGTCCAGATCAAAGGCAGTGGGGGGAAAAGGGGATGAGACTGGATGTGGCCATCAGGAATTGATTCCTGCCCCCTGGGGTGACTAAGCTTGTCCATTATGACTATGTTCTCACCAAGGCCAAGAGCATGCCAGAGACAAGTGGGCACTGGAGAGGGAGGCGCCTGAGCCAGACAGAGCCCTGGATACAGTGCAGAGAGGCATCAGCTACACCCAGCCCTGTCTGAGCAGTCACCTGTCCCATCTCTGGAGGATGGTGTGACTTGAGCTCCCTGAGGCAAAGGCCAGCCAGGACAGGGATGTGTTTGAGCCTGGCAGTTGACCACAGACACCCAGGAGCAAGGGCACCACACACTGTACAGACAGAAGCACCCAGGCACCATTAGCCACTTCTACTCCCATTCCCGGCACCCTAAGTGGGTGCTACTATTGTGTCCATTTTGCAGAGGTGAAGACTGAGGTATAGAATGTCAAGAGCCCATCCCTAGCCTGGTGGCGTCTCATGAGCAGCCAACAGAAGGAGAACCTGTTCCAGGAGTCCAGAGGCCCCAGACAGTTATCTGGGTCAGGCACCTGCCCAGGACCAAGCCCCACAACAAGGACACGCGGAATGCTGTAGACAGAGCCAGAGCCAGCAGGTGAGACAGGACCTAGCTCGGAGAGCCACGAGCCCCAGCACAGCACACCTTCCTTGCACTCCAGGGCCACGCGGGACTCCAGGTTGTCCATTTGGAGCTGTAGCCGCTTGAGGGTGCGGTCGGCATCACGAGACTTGCGCTTGTAGGCGATGAGCACGGCCACGATGACGAGCAGCAGCAGGCCCCCGCCACCTCCAATGCCCACGATGGCAGGCAGTGTCAGCAAGCTGTCCGAGTACACCTGCAACGTGCCTGGCGAAAACTCGAAGCCACCAGCTCGCACCTATCGGGTGAGAGTGAAGGTTGCTTGACAGACAACTCCCAGTGGATGACATTTCACCAGAGGGACGCAGGGATCTGAGACTGGGACTGCCTTGGTAAGGTGCTCTCATAGGGCTGGGGACAAAGGTAGGCACTGGCTTACAGAGTTGAGGTGGCCCTGTTGGGTGGAACCCAAGAGCCCAGAGCTGGGGCCAGGGAATCACTTGCAAGTTCTTCCTCCCAGGTGGATAGGCCAGCTAGGAGACGCACCGTGACCTTGTGCTGTCCGGTGAGATTGGGTGACTCGCACAGCAGCTGTGTTTCTGACACAGTGAGGATGCAGGGCGTGGAGCCAATGAGCACTGTGTAGTTGAGACGGGAATTGCCAGGTGCAGGGGGCAAGAGGTTCCGGCCCTGTAATGGGAGCAGGGTGAGCTGGGGAGTCCCTGATGGGCAGGTTCCTGAAGCCCCTGCCTCATCCTGCCCCACATCAGGACCCACCTTGAGGATGAGTGGGGAGCTGGGCTTGAGCTCCAGCAGGCCAGTGGGGCTCAGGGGTTCCAGCACAGGGTCAGGGTAGTAGAGGAAGGAGGAGGAGTTGAGCACCAGCAGGGCACGCACATTGTCCATGACGAAGCCCAGTTCATCCGGCCGCTCGCCCAGCTCAGGTGGGGTGCGTGTCGGGTTGTCCACAGACGGTGCTCGGCACACCATAGTGGTGTCATTGTATACCATGCAGCTCTGGAGACACGGGGCACCATTACACTTGGCTGAATGCCCTATGTACCAGTGCTCCTTAGGGAGCCCACCCAAGGGAGGGGGTGCCTCAGGACAGGAAGAGGCTCAGTGCCTAAAGCCCAGGCCCTTCCTAGACTCCAAGCAAAGTCATCTTCCTTCCCTGGGGATCTCCCACCAGGATCCAGGATGGCACCAGCTGTGAGAGTAGGGAGGTCAGAAATGGGATCGCCAGTCCAGGGGCCTAAGGGGAAGGCAAGGCAGGTGGACTCGGGGTGGCTGGTAGAGGTGGGGACTCACATTCTCCCGCTCTACACCTCCATACTTGGCTCGGATTCGAGGTTCACGGACGGTGGCCAGATTGGTACCTATGACAGTCAGGAGGGTCCCACCACTAGGAAGTAAAGGGGTGGGGAACCATCAGCCAACGCTCAGGGGAAGACAGTGGGGGGATAGTTCTGGGACCCTGGTCGACTGGTTTCTACCTGTTGATGCTCCACTCGGGGTCGATGCGCAGGATGGTAGGGTCCTCGGTGTAGTTGTACTTCACCTCAGGGTTGGTGAGCTGGGCACGGTTGATGTTGATGATAATGGGGGCGCTGCCCGGGTTCTGCCCAGGGGGTGTCAGGCAGCGGATCTCTCGAGAGTTTCTCCTGGAAGGCCGAGGAGGATGGTAAGGGGACATTGAGGACACCAGCAGAGCTCACCTTTAGGGTAAGCTAAACACCAGGCTTTGGCGCAGTCAGGACCAAAGCAAATACCAGGCCTGCCTCCAGGCAGCGACCGCTGTAGCTGCCACTGTCCCCTCCAAGTACCATGCCACCTGGTCCTATCTCCAGCCCTCCCAGCTCCTGGAACCCTTCCCACATGGCCCTGCTTCGCCTGTGACCTGCAGGTCTATTTTTCTCAAAGGCCTCTGCCGGCAGAATAGATTGCTCCTACCTCTGGCACCTGGTCTGACAATTGTGGCCAGGGCTCCATGCCTGGCAGGGGCTCCATCCCTCCACAGTGTATGCCAGCAAGCCCCCCCCCACCGGCTGGGAAGCGGGCAAGAATTGAGAGACCGAGGCCATGACCCCAGCCTTTCCCATCTGTTCCAGAGGCATTAGCCCTGAACCTGCCCTTGCAGAGTCCTCAGAGCTCGGAGTCAACTCCCTCGCCTTGGTAAGGCAGGGACCTTCCCTCTGTTGGTCTCATCAGAGTAACAGGCCTTGATTCTCAAGCCCCTGGACAGGGAGCTGTCTGGGGTGAGGGTCACTGGTGACCCCCAAGGTGCTGAGATGGCCACTGGGTTCCCTGGGCTCCTTTGGCAGAGTGGAGAAGCCACATGGCCATCGCTGGGGACGAATCTGATAATGGTTAATTACCATGGGGCCTCGCCATTATCATCCCGAATCCAAAATTATCCACTTCAGACCTCAGGGCTTTTGTTAGGAGCTCTATGTTTTCTCAAAATTTCTTCTTAAATACTTCTTACTTTGTACCCCAGGAAATCCCCACTCCCAGGGACACGGGACAGGGCACACAAAGCCCTGTAAGTCCCCACCTCCAGGAAGTCAGGCCCCACCCACTCACCACCCCCTCCCTTATGGCCTCCTTCCCTCCTCCCTCTGTGGAGGTAGCCTCTGTCTCCATGGCAACCCTCTCCTGCCTCTCGGTTTCCATAGTAATCACCCCAGCCAGCTCTCCATACCCCCTGTTTCCCAGGCAACAGGAGGGGGCCGGCAGCCATCTGAACTGGGAGGTACAGCCCTGGCCCCTCAACCACCAGCAGCAGAGGGCGGGCAGGGCCCTAGCCCCCTGCTCCCACCTGCATTCCCTACCAGGAGAAGGAGCAGGGTCGGCCGCCGATGGACACGGCCACGTCACTGCCTGCGTTCAGGTGGCTGCCCTCTATGCCAATCCAGGTGCCCCCTGACAGGGGCCCTCGGGAGGGGCTCACACGGTAGAAGGTGGGTGTCTGCAAAAGAAGGGCTTGTTAGCGCTTCCAGGGAAGCTCTGCTGGCTCGCGTGGCTGTCCATGTCCCCAGACAGGAGGGGCCCATGTGCCACTGGGCTCTCATTTGCTCAGAGTTCTCAGACATAGCCCAGGCAGGCAGGGCAAAGGCAGTGGGTAGAGGTAGGGACAGGAACCCTCAAGGGGGCACAGCACATGGCAGCTATGGCCCAAGGGGTGGAGCACTGGGGCAGGCCTCGCCCATGGCCAGCAGAGGAACAGGCTGGCACTTACCACGAAGGTGAAGCGCTTGGGTGACAAGGCCCGGTAGTGCGGAGAGCAGTCCCGCACACACACTTCCACCAGGGCATCATGGGACCGCACTGTGCTGGCATCCCCTATCTCACAGACGATCCTGTGGGCATCGGAAGGCCTCAGGGACGGTGCAGGCAGCCCCTGGACTCTACCAGGCCCCCTCCCCGCCACACCACACTCACTGCTCAGCGCTGATATACTCGCTCTCCACGGGGCTGCACAGCACCTTGCCCACGCGCACACCCAGCCGCACGTCCTCAAACCGCAGGCCCAGGTTCTCTCCTGTGATGGTCAGCCGTGTTCCTCCCTGTCTCGGGCCAGTCTCTGGGGACAGCTGGGAGAGAACCAGGCCACAACACCACTCTACCAGGTGCCGGGTGGGGGACTGGGCAGGGCACGGATCACCACCTCAGGCAAGGCCTACCTTGAGGATCTTAGGGTCAGTGCAGCGGCTACTGCCGTGGCGAGCATGCATCCAGGCGGTGGGCACATCGGCTGGGCAGTGGTGGCGCAGGGAGCAGCGGCGCTCAGCCACACACCAGCCACACTCGAAGCGTGGGTCGGCCTTGAGGCAGAGGCCACAGCTCTCACGAAGGGCTGGGCACTTGTAGAGGTGAGCTGCACGGTAGGGGAGGGGAGCGTAGTCAGCCGGGCCCTGTCCACCACCTAACCTAACCGGCCGGCCAGCCCTGACTCACCCTGGATGTTCTGAGGGTTGTCGATGACAAAGTTGCCGTTCCACACAACGGACAAGTTCACGGGCAGGTCACTGATGTCATTCCCCTCATAGGAGTACTGTGGGCGGCAAGCATAGCAGTCAGGCTGGGGGCACAGACCACGAGCTCCTGGACACGACAAAAGTGGCTCCTGAGGGTGATGGGGCTTGGGGAGGTCTAGTATCCAGGCTCCTGCGAAGACTGGTGTTTCCAGCCAGGAGAGAACCACCATCTACCTCAGCAAGCCCTTGCCTGTCATGTCCCTTTTATCAGGTCCCACAACACCACCACCCCAGCCCAGGGCATTCTAGCAGCCATCAAGGCCCTCCCCAGGGGACTTCCCTGCTTCCCAAGGTAGAACTCCATGGGCTCTCCTTGGGGACCACCCCAAACCACAGGGAATCTGCAGCCCCAGAAAGTGCCTTGCTGGCATCCCTGAAACAAAACCGGGGCTCCAGCTGGGTTCCTGGAACACCCTTCGGGGGTGCTCTGTGAACTTCAACATCTTCATCTCTTGCACCGATGTGTGAGACGCCTGCGTCACTCAGCCTAGCGGCACCCCAGCCCCATCCCGGGCGCCCCAGCTGTGTTCTACTTTCCGTAGTTGATGACCTCAACTCCGCTCCCCTGCCCGGGCAGAGGCAGGGAGCCTGGCCTCTCCGAGGGCCAGGCTGACAATTCATCCTGGTTTTATCGCAGGCATTTAATTGGATCCCATCAAAGGCCCTGATACTCCCTCTTCCCTTTAGCAGAGGCTGACGGAAAGATAAATGAGAAGCAGGAGGAAGGGGCGGGGGTGGGGAGGACAACAGAGGCGCACGATGGGGAGTCACAGGGGAAGCAGACACAGGCAGCCTGTGAGACTCACGAAGAATGGACAGGACCAGAGAGGGATGTCATGCTGGTAGGGGGTAATCCTCATGGCCCCCTCTGGCCCCAGGGGGCCTGGGCAACCTGCCACATCCCACCAGACCCTTCTAGGACTGACCAGAGTCATCCTTGGGGCAGCAGGAGCCTGACCTCCGACCTCATCAAGATTCTGCCTCTGTGACTCCGGGATGGGGACTAAGCTGATAACTCAGTGTCCCCCGCGACAGTACACAGCCATCCGCCCTGCCCACCAGGGCCCAGAGAAGTCCAGAAGACCCTTTCTCTTGCTTGCACCCTTCCTGAAGAGGTGGGGAAACTTAGGTGGCTGCAGGCCCTCTGGGCATGAGCCAGGGCAGCCAGTAGGACCTGTGCCCATGCACTCAGCCTCTCCCGACTCCTAGGGAGAGGGCTTGGCCCTGCAGACATCATCCATCACGACACTCCCAGGGCTTTCCAAACGTCACTGTATTGCACTGGAAGCTCCAAGTATCATGTTTCCTTGGTGCATGGGCCGTGCTCATCTGCTAATGCACAGATATTGACTGACGCAGGCCCTCTGAACGCTGGGCCACAGGACACAGAAAGGAACTGATGGGCTCTGGTGCCCTGGAGTCGGGTGATGGTGGACAGCAGGTACCCGGTCACTGTAGACCTGACCCTCAGTGGATGGAATGTCCCACTGGGGCTTGCTACACTCGCCCTCTCCCCTGGCAGACCAAGCATCAGGGTACTTTTGGTGGCTATGAGGAATGGCAGACAGCCCCACTCACCTGCCAGGCCCAGGCACACCTGCCCCTGGGCCCTGGCCCATGGCAGTGTGTGGAGTCCCTGCCAGCCCCCGCCTGCTCCCACCCGTCTCACCGAAGAATTCTGGCACTGCAGGCTGGAGCTGTTGAAGCGCAGGGCAGTGACGCGTGCTGGGCTGCCTGGGATATGGAATAGGCACTCGTACCCACGCTGGCCTGATTGTGGCTGTGGCAGGTTTCGGGCAGCCAGGGTGATGGGCTTCACCACGCCCACGGGAATGTAGATCTGGGTGGAGGGCAGGATCTGTGGGCAGTCCTGTAAGTGAAAGTCTAGGCTTAGCCCAGGCAAGGGCTGAACAGCTGGTCAACCCCAGTACATTCTGAGACAGCAGTCCATACAGAACCCACTGCACCCACTTTACACCCTGGCAAACTGAGGATCACAGTCAGGAGGGCAGGGGCAGAAGGCCTGGGTTCTGCTCGCCATATACTTGGTGACCGGCCAGGGCAAGCTGTCTGCCCCTGGAGATACATGTCCTGTGTCAAGGACCCAGCACAATCCTGCTGTCCAAAGAGCTCAGCGGGCCTATAACTGCCAAGGCCTTTGGGGCTAAGGCAGCCCAGAGTGAGGCACTGGGATGGCAAGTTCTCGGCCGAGGGCCCCAGGGTGTGTAAAAATAGCCAGAACCCCACAGAAAAACAGCCGGGACTCCTGGGGCTGGTGTTTCGGCAACAATAACTGATGCAATGGCCCAGCTTCCTTGCAGCATGGCTGGCAGGAGCCGCGGAAGAACCAGCCTCTTGGGAGCAGAAGCGTCGGAGCCAGGCTTTAAATAGGGATGCTGAAAACAGGCTGCAGTCTCTGGGCCCTGCAGCAGCTCCCAGGACAGCAAAAGCTCTGGCCCAGCCCTGCAGAGCCCCACGCAGCCCCAGGACCTGTCTGGCCCCTCAAGGAATCTAGGGTAGCATAACTGACTTGGGCCAACTGAGCTCACACTGCATGCATCCCACGCTGGGACGCCCCAGGGTCTGCCATGGTGTGTGCAGGCAGTGGCTACAGCATGGAGACATGAGTAAGCACAGTGGCCTAGACCCACACCCACATTGGTGGTGAACCCAGTGACAACACCCCAAGATGCAAGCTGGAATCCCATGTGGCTGGGCCTCCTCTGGACCATGGTCTGCCCATGAGCTCCCTGGGAGTGACCTGAGCTGCTTCTTATTGCTCATCCAAGGCTGGAAACATTGATGAGGCCTAAATGGTCATACCTGCAGGAAGGCAGAGGATGACCGAGGCAATATCTGAGCCTCTTGGTACTCTTAAGTCTCAGAGACCTCTTGGCAGGAGACACAGAGCAGGCTCACCTGGCAGGAGGTTCCAGCCACCACCACTGGGTGCAGATGCAGCCAGCTAGAGCTCAACGTCAAACTGCCCACCTCCGGCCAGGGCTGTCCCTTCTGACTGCCAACCCCATGCTTTGGGCAACAGCCTTCTCCCTGGTACCCAGTATGCCGTTGTCCAGTTATGTTCTCCATATATTGCAAAGCTAGCCCAGAAAAGCCAGTAGGGGCACCTGCTGGGGCACTGAGAGTATGGCATGAGCTTTAAGTCTCACTTCCCAGCTCGTGCTACCAGGAGGCCATGGAATGCCAGGGCAGCCAGCAGCTTCCAAAAGGTACTTTTCTTTTCTCCCAAGGCGGCCCAGTAACCCTAGAGAAAGACCAGCGGCTCCTGCAAGGCAGCGGCGTCAGCATGCATGGGGGGTATGGTGCCAGGGTCCTTCAAAGTCCCAGGCCCCTCTTCCTCCTTGGGACGAGAAGATGCTGCTTTTGCCATTCTGGTTAGACTTGGTCTGCCTGTCCTGGATGCCCACCCATCCTCTAGTCAGGACAGTTTACTCAACTGACACTGGGGCTGCTGCAAACTCCTACCTCCCAACTGGAGCGCCCTAGGCGTGACAGTGGGGAAAAGCCACTCAGGGAGTAGGCCCAGGGCCAACCTCCTTGGTTCTGTTGAAGCCAGGACCTGGGGTCTCTAAGAGGAATGAAGATGGTCTCTGCTTCCTGCAGTTCCCCACTGGGACCCTGTACCCCAGCCCTATCTGGCTAGCCTTTTCCACGTGCTGGGCTTGTGCTGGTCACCCCCCACCTCCAAGCACAGGGCACAGGGAAGGATCCAGGGTTTTCAGAGTTCCTGTCCCATGCTAGAGCAGGCAGAGCAAGCAGACAAAGTGGGCACATGGCACCTGGACTGCAATGGTCTCAACAGAGGCCAGATGAGGACACAAGGTACAACTGGGTACAAGCAAGTCACCCAGAGGTCCACAGGAGCCACGTAGGGGCAGAGGGGCACGAGAAAGAGGGAGCCCATAGGAGGCTGCTGTGGTCATTAGGCATCCAAGATGTCCCCAATAGTTTATTTTGTTATTTGTGTCCATGTCACACCTCTGGGACTACAGAGCTTCAGCAAAGAGTGCAGATGTGTAGAAGGAATTCACTCACATTCTCTTCTAGTCCCCAGTCCTGCCTCCCCTGTCCAACTCTGGCTCCAGAAACTAGACACAGGGTACCCCCCCACTCCACTGCTATGGGTGTGGACCGCACCTGCCCATCTCAGGCTTGCTAATAGGCCCCAGGTCTCCCTGGCCTATTCTAAGAACGGAAGAAACAGCTTGTTACTCATGAAAAAAGTCAGCACCTTGCCCAGGTCCCACAGCAGTTACTATGTGGTTATAAGTAATTGCCATGCAGTGCTTCAGGCCAGAGCCCACCAGAGCTGCTCCCTCCTCCGCCCAAGGAAGCAGGACAGTGGGCTTCCTGCCCTGTGCCCTCCTGCCCCAGGCTCTCACCTGCACTGGTTCTAGGTCTCAGGTAAGTCTCTGCTGGGCAGCCTGCAGCCCCCAGGCTATAGGGAAGGCTCAGATGCTCAAGGACCACAGAGGAAACATGAACATCTTGGAATCCCGTCCCTGGTGGCCCAGTGTGCAGCCCCAGGATGGGCCCCTGGTGGTGTGTGAACAACATGCAGACATTGCAGCCATTCCTGGTGCTGGGCAGGGGGAGGGGGAGTGAGGTGGGGGAGGGGAATGATCCTTAGGCTGCACCTCCCCCTCAAGCCATCCTTACCTCAGACATGTTGACACGGCCCTCCAGGAAGGCGCAATCTGCAGCGTTGTGCGTACACACATGGCGGTACTTGCACCAGTGACAAGGGAAGGAGCCGTTGACACAGGACAGGCAGCTGCAGTGGGGGGAAATTAAAGGGAGGGCAGGTGGTGAGGCCTGGGGACCTGGCCCAGGCTCCCTGGAGACCACCACAGGCCTTTGTGCCAGCTGCTCATAGCCCACCAAGTTCTTCCCTTCAACTTGCACACAGCCACAACCCTGGTCTCTCAGAGGCCTCACCTCCAGTATAGCCCCCTGGGCCGCTCCCTCCTGCAGGGTCTCTAGATCACCTGGTGGCCCATCCCAGCTCCACCCACCTTGGGACTGCCAGCCACGTGCAACTGTTAGCATCCCAGATGCATGTGTGCAATTTAGCAGCCGCACTAGGATCTCCGTCCTCTTAAGTAAGAACTTGGATCCCAACCCAGTCAGATCTGCCAGGATCTGACAGGCTGAGCCTCGGCACGCATCCCTCCCATGTCAGGAGCTCCCTACCCACAGTGTCCGGGGAGTGGGGGCTTCAGCACACACAAAACTTGCAACCTCCGAGGACATGGCTGCCACCCAGTCCCCAGCACTTCCCCACCTGCTTCGGCCACCCTGTCCCTCTCTTCCCTCAGTGTCCCTCCAGGCCCGTGGTCCAGGACCAGAGAAGTTGTATCTTGGAGGTAAAAATGCTGCCTCATCCTCAGCAAGGGCCCCAACCCCAGATGTCTAAATCCGTTTAGGAGTCGGTCAACAAAGCACAGGCTGGAAAAAAATCAGGTAACTTTTATCCCTGAGGCTCGATCTATTGTCTACTGGGGGCTCCCCACCATCCTCATGCCTCACCTCACCCTGGGTTCCCAAGTCAGGGCCAGAATTGAGTCCCTCTTGCAGCCCCCCTGTCTGGCTCATGGTGGGCTTCAGTGTGGGCCCTCAGTCTTCCTTTCTTTTCTCTGAGACTCCCAGCCAAGCCCTCCACACTTCAGCCAGGGATCTAGAAGAGGCCTGGGTATGCCTAAGAGCTGCCACCGGCCCAGGAGCAGCAGGAACTTGGTGATCGTCTCTGGGCCCCACACCGACCCCAGCAAGCTTATCTCCTCCCTGCTTTCCTGGCCTCCATTCTGGGATCCGTAGGCCACTCACTGCCTACCCCATGGTGGCCATAGGACATCCCATGTGTGAATGGGTACACATCATACTCCTACTCAGGGTTCTACAGCCGACACAGCCCATGACAAATCCCATGCCCTAAGCGTGCCCACGGCTGCTCGAGTGGCTCTGCTGTGAACACGTCCATACAGCCTCAGTCCCCATCCCTGGGAGTCCCTGTAGCCCTATACTTGTGGATGCTTGCACCTGGCAGGCTGCCCCTTCCCTGATGACCTCATTCCAGGAGCCCTGGATTCAGGGCTGCCACCTGCTGCCCCCAGGAGACAGGCAAGTGTAGTGAGCAGGCAGGGCAGGGGGCCCGGGACACTCACGACTGGTGGACACTGCAATTGTAGAAAACAAAGTCCACAGATGCGAACTTCTTCCCCGTCTCCTTGGACTTCAGGTACAGCTTCACCACCCGCTGGTCCCCTGCCGAAACAGCATAGCCCTGGTCAGGAGGGCCATGGGGGGCCACAGAGTACAGAGGAGCACCTCCCCTACAGTCCCACTGCTGGGCCAGCATCTGTACTCACCCTGGCCCCGCGTGATAGGCGCCACCTCACGGGCAGAGGGTGAGCGACAGTGGATGCGGCCGTCTTCCAGGACACTCTCAGACTCGGTGAAGTCCTCAAAGGAGCAGTTGACACCGGCAGAGAGGTCAGGCACGTTCCAGGCCTGCAGCACGAGCTGGGGCACACAGGTGTGAGAAGTGGGTGAGTGAGGTGGTCTCGATCAGCACATCCCGCCTCCCAGCTGTCACAGGGTAGCCACACTCACTGGGACCTGGGACATGGTGACGGACACGTTGCGTGGCTGCACAGTCAGCTGCACACACTGCAGCAGATCTGAGGCGAAGCGCTGGGGTTCATCTGCCCGCTCGCAGGCATCCTGCCTTGAGCAGCTGCAGGCACAGGGTGCTGAGACGCGGCCCATGGGGAGACCCCAGGCCAAGACCACAAGGGTGGTGACATCCCCTGCACCTCCCCTCCCTCCCCCCTAGCATGGTGGCGTCCCTGCTCCTGGTCTGGCTGAGACCCACAGGAGCAATGAGGGAGCTGGGACCACCTGGAGGGGGTCACATGGGACCCCCCCACACCCCTTGTAGCCAGAGCAGCTATACTCACACACTGTGCAGGACACACCAGCCGCAGTGGGGATCCCGGGACCCCAGGCACAGCTCACAGGATGTGTACTGCACACAGCTCTCCACAGGCACCCGCGTCACCTGCGGCAGGGGCTACGTTAGACCTTACCAGTCCTTCCCAGGGGTCCTCAGGCCACTGCCATTCTGCACTTCACATACGCCACAACAGTCCCTGGGCAGGGGCTCTACTCATGCACAGCCCACGCGCAGGTTCCCAGCGCCTTGCCTTTACCATGTCATGTCAAACAGGCCAGGAAGGGAGGGAATCAACAGAGCAAGTGGAGCCGGGGGTTAAGGAGCCCCAGGTTCGACCAGACTTTACTCTCCCAGCCGTCTGGATAGGCTGGTCAGGCCCAAGCAGGAGCACTAAAGGAGGCCAAGATGATGTTCAAAGGGGCAGATCGGGGTTCCATGTGTCTGATCTCACTTGTTCAGCTTGGCTTCCTGGCACAGGGTCAGGACAGCCCACCTAGCTCAGGATAGGCAAGAGCAGAGGAAGGTAGGCGTGGTCTTGCCAGACCTCTCCTGTGCCAACCCACCCTGCATGCGGCCAGAGGGCTACCAGGTTGGGCTGAGGCAGGCTCCACATAGGCTAGGCTCTGAGACCATGGCCACAGTTCCCACAGGGCCCAGGCTTGGCATGCCTACTCCAGGCCTCAGAACCCGGGGGCCCCAGATCCATGGCCCAAACCCCGCAGAGATGATGCCCTGAAGCCGCTCTGGTCCAAGTGCTAGTTTCTGCAATTATTTACACAGGCCAGGAGGCTCTGCAGGCAGCACCCAGACAAGGCCAGCTTATCCACACTGCTTCCCGAGGAAAGACCCCTGCACAGCACACACTGCACTGGTGACCCGGAGCCCTCACCCTGCCACACTAACACCCAGGCCTTGGGGAGGCACCCCTACAGGAGGAGTAACCCCTAGTGCGGGCCAGCCCAACCCTCAGCTCCCCAGTGGCCATTTATCCCAGCCTCCCACCGTGTGACCACAGTGGCACCCACCTGCTTCTCTGTCATGGCATACAGGTACTGGCGGTTGGGGCTGAGGACGAGGTCGCGTAAGATGGGGCTGCCCTCCTGGGCCACCACGCTCTCATAGGCCAGGGCCGGCCGGCCGCCAGGGTTGGAGAGGTCCACCAGGATCTGTGGTGGCAAGGGTCCTGGTGTGGGACTCTGCCACCGCCCCCCCAGGGGAACCTGGCACCAGGCCCCCAGTCTACCACACTCCCTACCCCACTGCCCTCCTCCCAGACATAGCCCCAGGCCTACAGCAGTCAGTAAAAGCCAGGGCCCAGGGCAGGAGTCCTTATGGTTGGACACAATCACGACCTAACCCCCTCCCAAACCACTTGGCCATCCAAGGACAAAGGCTGGGAAAGCCCAGGGTGGGCACCCATCTCTCCTGGTGGCCCCTATGGGCTTGCAGAGAAGTGGGGACAGCAGGGGTCCGGGGCCTATGGGGAACACGGGGAGCCAGTGAAGATGGGAATGAAGACCAGAATCTCTGGGCTGTCCTGGAGGTGGGGACTGCCCCTGTGAGAGGGAGATCACAGCAGGATGAGGGCAAGCCTCTCACGGGTATGGAATACATCCCTTGTTCCAAACAGACCAGGCGTTCATTAGTCAGCCTTCTCTGCTGCAGCTTGCTAGGCTGCAAGTATTTTTAGTTGCTTTTACCAAACAAATGTATTTAGTTAACAGAGAGACCCAGGGGGCTTTCCAGAGATGGGCTCATGGGGCGTGGTGGCCTGGCTCCCTGGTCCTAGGCAAGGCAGCCTCTGCTCCCCACCCTTTGATATCACCCACAAAGTTCCCAAAGCCAGCTCACCTCTCCTCCAGCTCCATTGTAACCACCCGGCACAATGCCCCTTACTGAACTCACCTCCCAACCTCAGTATAGGACAGGGCTGGGCAGACCTTGGCAGTGCCTGAGCCAGCTCAGCCAGGGCTGGACAGAGGGCGGCCAGCCAGGGTGGGGCGCTGTGTCTCGGGGCCAGAGGCTCTGGGCTGTGGGAGAGGGGGAGGGCCACATTCCTGAGAGCTCCAGGCCACCCCCCACATCCGCTCAGCTGCCTCCCCACCAAGCCGACTTAAGTCAAACCAGACCCGGAAGAGGGAGCCCAGAGCAGGGCAGGGGAGGAGGCCCCAGGGTTGGGCCCAGCTGGGACAGCAGCAGGGGCTTGGCCTCGGTTGCTGGGTTACTTCAGCCTGAGCCCTCTGGGACCACAGCGACGCAGTAAGGGGGCCAGCAGGCCAGATCTATGCCTACCCGGGCATGCTGGCTGTGTGGCCTGACCCTGTGTAACCACCTCAAGGGTGTCTGGGAAGTTAGTCCCCCCTCACCCCCCGCCCCCGCCCCCACCCCCGCTGCTGTGACAGGCACTGCTCCAGCTGGCCAGCCCCAGAGAGGGCACTGGCCTGTAGCCGGCCTCAGGACATACGCTGCCCGCATCCCGGCTACAGCGGCGGGACTCAGGTGGGGCACACAGGACCTGTGCCTGTTTCCCCAGCTGTGAAACGGGAGTGACAGGCACCCCTTCCTGGAAGAGAATAGTTCATGTGGAGGGGGCAGGGTGGGGGTGCTGCACAGGGTATTCAGAGTCCCACAGCCATCACCAGACTGAGGCAGCTATACCACCCAGGAGGGTGGGCTGCAGATGGCTGCCTGGGAACCAGGGACAGTAGGGAGGAGCAGGATATGGCCTGGGCAAGGGGCACAAGGGGTACAGGGGACTCTGTCTCAAACGCAGAAGCCTCCAGGAAGACTCCCCATCTCTCACCGTGTTTCCCCATTCCTACAGACGCCCCCAGTAGCAGCCCCAAAGCCACAGTCTGACCCATTTCACTCAGTGCCAGAGCTGGGGCTCCACCCAAGCATCACACCTCCGAGTATGGCATGTACAACTCCTTTAACTTGACCTTGACCTGGCACTCAGGGTGCACCTGAGAGGTACCCCAACTGGAACACATGTAAGAGTGACCAACTTCCTGCCACACGATGCTGGCCCCAGCCCTGCCCCATCTGCCTGCCTTCTCTCCATGCAGGGCTAGGGCTACATGGGCTGGGGCTACAAGCCATTCCAAGGCGCAGCCGGAGATGGCGGGAGCATGCAGAGTAAGTGCAGGGTACAGCAGCCCCTGGGTATGGAGGGTGGGTGGGGCAGGTGGGGGAGAAGGAAGACGCAACTTGAGCCCTGGCTCTGGTACAATCCCCCTGCTCCCTGCCCCAACCCAGGGCAGTGTGCCGACCGGGACAGGTGGCACCAACAGCTGCAGCCGGGAGCATGCGTATCCAGCTGTCCATCGCCACATACCCATCTGTCCGCCCACCTGCCTTGCACTAGGGCCACCCTGACTCCCTGTAAACAGAGGCAGGGAGGACCATCGCAGAGGCCGACTCCTGGGGAGGCCACTGATGACCACAGGGTATGCCTGTGGCGCAGAGAAGGCAGGGTGGGTGCCAGGGAAGTAGCCTGGCAGCCGGAGGCAGGCAACAACCCCAAGCTGAGCGCCAAGTGGTCATGGTCTTGGGTCTCTGGGTGCACATACGCATTACAGGGACATACGCACTCCAATTGGGGGGGGGGTGTATGGCCAGTTACTTGAGGCTCCCAGACAAGCTCACTGTGTCCTGGCTACAGTTTTCAGACTGAGATGCCTGTGTGGCCCACAGGGCCAGGAAGTCGACCAAGGCTTACACAGCTGCACCTGGTGGGGGGAGGGGGAAGCAGGGTCTGTGCCAGAAGTGGGAGGAGGCACAGTATCCTGCCAGGAGGGCATTCCAGGGGAGCAGGAGGGCAGGGCCCAGAGAGCAGGGCAGGCACAGGGCCAGGGTAGCTGGCAGGACAGCAGAACACACGCCGGCTGGGAGCACGCGTGCTGACACCCACACCCCCAGTCTACAGCTGTCCACTCTAGGGCCACCCACCTGGGTGCGGCCCGCTCTCAGGGCAGCTGGGTCCAACAGGCCCTTCCCTGCAGCAGCAGGGCAGCTGACAGAACAAGTGAGAGATTGGAGTGCTGAGCCGTGCTGGGGCATCCTGCTACCCTTCCTGCCTCCAGCTGTCTGTCACCTCCTGGCTCTGCAAATCACTGGTGGCCCCAACAGCCAGCCCCCTGTGGCCTTTCACCACAGCATGCACGTGTGATGGGTTCTGATCTTGCAGAGTCCTGCTTCTTTGGCCATGGCTCACTGAGGACCCACGCCTTCTCAGAGATGGCTTCTGGGGGGTGACCCACGTTATCCATACCCTCCTACACACACACAGTCTTTCCTGACTCTTGCAGCCCTCAGTCCCTCTGTCCCTTCTGTATCCTGGGCACCTCACCTTGGACTCTTGAGCTGAGGGCAGCCAGCGTTCCTGGGGAGGGGATAGGGCACAATGACTTCTCAGGTACAAAGCCAGCCTAGGCACTGACCTGACCACAAACTGAGCACCTGACCCCACTGGGGGCACCCAGGACTTGGGGAGGGCAGCCACTGGTATGAGAATACCCCACATCCTGGGGATTGAAGTCCCAGACCAGTCCAGCCGGCTGCCCAGCTCCCATCAACACCCCAGTCCTGGCCAACTGCTGTGGGCAGGCGGGCAGCTGACGACCCGGCCAGGTCAGCTGTCTGTCCAGTCCGGAGCCAACAAAGGGTCCATTCTCTGGGCTGAGGGCAGGCGGGGGCGCAGAGGAGGATGTCTGGGCTGTCCAGGCCGAGTGCCAAGGCCGGCACGCGCCCTAGTCGCCCGGAGACAGGGGCTGCCCAGCGTGGCCCTGACCTGGGAGAGAGAGTTCCTCTGCTCTGTCCACTCCTTGATGGTAGCCAGGGTGCTGGCCCATGATGCATCACTCAGCCCTCCCCACCCTACCATGAAGTGGGGTGTGCTGGCCGAGCTGATTGGTCTCTGGCCGGGGTAGAGGGACAGAGGGGCGTTAGCCGGCAAGGCCACGGCACTGTGACAGCACAGCTGTCCGGTCTGGTCTCTGTGCAGGCATCACTGCCAAGCTGTTCCTAGTCCAAGGCTGGTAGAGCCCTTTCTCCCTTCTTCTCCCTTAAAAGAGCTCCCCCTCCCCTGGCTGGGGTGGGTTCCATACCCCCTTCCTGGGTCCCCCCTAACATTTTCAGAAAGGCCAGGAGGAATTTGATACTGGAAAAGCAATTAGTGATTTCCTCTCGGCAGTAATTGGGTAATTAAAACATGATTTGCAGGAGGCCTGATGGCTGTAATTGGGCCAGACACACCTGGCAGGGGAGGAGCGGTCCCAGGAATCTGGTCTTCCTTATCCCCAACCCCCACCACACAAAGGAGAGCTGCAAGCAATGAAACCAGGATCCTGCAGGTGGGAGAACCAGGTTGCTGGAGACAGGCTCCAACCTGCTCCAGCCATGACCCTCTGTAGGACAGGGCCTCCCACACCCTCAGTCTCGTCATCTATGGCAGTGCTTGAGAGCCTATGGTTCCCAAGGGTGAGTCTAGGCTGCACCCACTATGGTGGAGGACATGCCCTGGGGTTTCCATCAGCACACATCACTGACAAGGTCTCTGTCAGCTTCAGACAGGCCAAGGACCCCAACTAGAGCCCAGGGCCCAACCAGCATGGGGTCCCAGCAGACGCAGAGCTAGCAGCGGGGCTCATGTGGCCTCCTGTCTTTGTCTCAAACCCATGAACCCACCGTGGCCCTCCAATGCCCCTCCCTCCTAAGATGTCAGAGCCACCTGCAGGCCTGACCCTCAGCATCACTCAGCAGCAGATGAAAGTTCCATGCACACTCCCTGCCTTCCAGCCCCTACCATGCAAATCACAAGGTTATCAGCAAACTCAACCACCACACAGAGACCCAGGCCCCGTGTGGGCAGTGGGCAGCCTGGGGGCCAGGCATCACCCTGTAGCACAAAGGCTTACAGTGGCTGACAAAGGCCTGTATGGAAGGGACCGCAACCAGGCAGGGTCAGGGCACAGCAGCCATAGCTTGTCATAGGCCCACCCCACTTCCCTGCAGCCCCTGAGATGTGGCCACTGCCAGCTGAGCTCCACAGTGAACCTGTGCCCAGCCACAGAGCCCAGGTGCCCTGCCCCAAGGCCTGGCAATCTGTGGGCCCTCAAAGTCCTTCCCCTACAAGCTGCTAAATACCACAATACAATCCCTGGCCACAAATCCAGGTTCCAGGCCTCAGACACAGCCCCAGCATGGCTACCAAAGTAGGCAATGCTGGGTCTCAGGCCCTGTGGGGCTCAACAGGGGCCACAGGACCGATGCCCCCACTCTGGTCCTCCTTCCTCTGTGGACTCTCCCCACCTGTGCTCTGCAGGGATCAGGAGGGGGGGTATGCACTCTGCAGGAGTCTGGGGTTGGTTCTTTTCCTTAGGGAGACCTGGGATGACTCCCAGACTCAAATCAGGGGCTTCCCTTGAGACCTCCTTCCAGGGGTCCAGTCTCCTAGAAGCTGAGGGAGGGGGTAGAAAGGGGACAATGGCCAGGGATGGGGCTCTAGCGGGCAGAAGTGCCGGGACAGGCAGCCTCTGCAGAGGGAGGGGCAGGTGGCAGGCAGGGCTCTAGGGAAGCAGGGGAGGCAGGGGCACCCTCAGCCAGGACTGAGCAGCTGAAGTTGGCAGATCTTAAATTAATCGGCTACAATTTTACACAACAACACGTTTGGCAGGGCCTGGCCAGGGGCCAACCAAGTCCCTGGAGCTCCCCAGGCACTTTTTAAAGCTGGGGAAGGAGTAGGCCAGGGTAAAAGGGGGAGTGGCCAGCCCAGCAGGCCCTGCTCCTCAGGCTGTAGCTGGGGGTTCCCAGGTCCCAGGCTCAGACTTGCAACTGGGAACTGAGAGGAGGTGAAGACGTCCACATCTCTGCTAGCAGGAGGGGAGGAGGAGCTGGAGGCCCACAGAGCAAGAGGCGGTGGGAGAACCCAGCAGGGACACTGTGGCCCACAGCCACACAACACCCAGGCTTGGTCAGGACAACACGGGGAGACGAGGGAAGCAGGAATTTCCTGCCAGGCTCCAGCCAAGAAGCAGCGTGTGTGGCTGCAGGGGAGGGGAAGGGCGTGGGGGGGGGGGGAGCGTCCCTTGCTGTGGGAGGGGTCATGGCAGGGCCTAGGGTGGCACCTACAGGTTACAGAGCCAGGCCAGATGCCTGTGGAACTGCTACCCTGGTTGTGGGAACTAAGCAGCATGTGCCTAAAGCCAGGACAGGGGCGTAGGCCCTGGGGGCACTATGGAACAAGGAGACAGGAGGGGATGCACAGCAGGCAGCAGCTAGAGCCACCTTCCTCCCCCCCACTTGAGAGAGGGCAGGCAGCAGCTGCTGAGGGCCTGCAGGTCAGTGGGGGCACTGGGGGTGGGGGAGGGCTTCCTGGAAGAGCAGCTGCTGAACTGCTGCAGGCCCTGGGCGCCCTCAGGGAGGGCTGGCATTGAAGCAGGGGTCCAACACCCCTACCTTCCCCATCCAGGGAACCTGTCAGGCCCCAGGCACCCTCCTGCAAGGACCCACAGAGGAGCAGGAATGGTGAGGCCCTGGGCAGTGCTGGCTCCACCCTTGCCATGGTTCCCTCTTCTGGGGGGGGAGTTGCTATGAGGCTTCCACGTGAGGCCAGCACACAACCTGTGCTCCGTGTGCCCTTGAGGTGCCCATGCTCAGGAATTCGGAACAGCCTGACAATGGGCAAGCTTGTGGGACTCTGGGGCACACAAGACCTGACACAGGACACAATCGACTTCCAAGACTGCCACAGACCCTTGCCATAAACACAGGCACCCTTAGGAGCACAGGCCTGGGGCTGCCTTGACTGGAGATCCTACAAACAGCCCCAAGTGTCCGGCTCACAGGGTCCACTATCCACTGCCAGCCAGCAGCCCCAGGCACCCCCAAAATGGTGCCACCCACTCACAAGCTGCACCTAGTCTGGGGGGTGGAGTGCTGGGAGGAAGAAACGGTCACCCAGAAAGGGACCTGAACCAGCAACACCAAGGCCCTTGGAGGAATTCACACTCTACTTGGCCAGCTGGACTGCCCAGCAGCCATCCAAACAAGTTGGCAACGGGCCTGGAGGAGTAGGCGACAGGCCACGGGGCCAGGGAGGAAAGGTGGAGGGGACCTCTGGTCATGGCCCAGGGTGGCCTCTTTCCGTGGACCAGTCCACAAATCCAGGTTCCAGGCCTCAGTCCCCTGCCAGATGGGGCAGGGGAGGGTAGCAGAACAATAGCCAACTGGGATTCAGGATTCCTCCCCATCCCCCCAGTCAAAGTTGCCACCCAGAGGTGTCCTGGGGCACAGAGCAGGGGAGGAAGCAGCAATGGGAGCACTGGAGGAACCCGTCTGCCCAGCCTTACTGGGGAACCTGAGGGCGGCGCCAGGACTGCTCTGCCTGCCCCTCTTCCAGCCCACCCACCATCCCAGGGGATGCTTGCAACCCTGGGAGCCGAGTGGAGGTGCCCGTGGGAACGGCTCCAAGCCGACTGTATCTCCCCAGCCTCTGGCATCTCTCCCTAGCACAGCTGTCTGCCAGGCACCACACAGCAGCACATACAGGGCCCTGGGTGGCTCCCTCCTGCCCTAAGAGGGCGAGCGACAGGGAAAAGCCCCTTGTGCCAGAGGCCAAAAGCTCCAGCAGAGGACCTGGCTGAGGGCACTAGAGGGTACTGAGCTGTGTTGGGAGCTCACAGGGTCCTGCCCACCACAGTTCTGCACTCAGCAGCAGTCCGCAGACACCTAGCCTAGGTCATGAACACCTGGGCTCATTCCACAGTGAGGCTGAAAGCTCAAGTGTGGGACTGGGGGAGTCGGAAGGGGTGTTCCCTTCCCAGACAGCAGAGGGACATGAGTCCCAAGGCAACCTCCATGGCCCAGGCCAAGAGCTTGGAGGCCCTGGCTGGCAGCAGGCCCAGCCCCACCCACGGGTGCACACACAGCAGGCGGGGAGCTGTGTCAGTGCCGGCCCTGGTGGCTGGTATTTCATCCCCAGGCCCGCCCCTGCTTGCTGAGTCCTGCCGCACCCGGCACCCCCACCCCGCAGTCTCCCAGGGAGCTTGCTTTAGCAGTTCACCCTGCCCTAAAGCCTGGTACCTACCCAGTAATACCCACCCACAGGTCCAGAGGCTTCCTTTTTGCCCTCACTCTCCAGGAAGCCCTCCTGGTCCAGCTCAGCATTGGTGGGAAGGAGAACGCAGAGGCCAGGGAGCCCTTCCACACCCCTCACCCTGAGGGGCCAGGAACACTGTCCCTCCAGTGCCCTGTACACCACTCCTCTGGCAGCAGCCCAAGGTGGCGTGGTGGCGGGGGCCTACCCTTCCCCTGCCCTTGGCCTTGCCGCCGCCCTCGTGCAGGGCATTGCTGTCTCAGCAGACACTGGATCTGCCAGGGCTCAGGAACAGAACCGGAGGGGAGGGGGCCCGCGCAGGCCACCCCACCCCCACCTCTCCTCAGCCTTCTGGAGTCATGAGTACACTACAGAGCCTGCCCCACTAGCCTTGGCCTCCAGGCTGCATGGCCTCTAAGGGTCCTCACCCAGGCTTGGACCCTTACTGGGCACCAGTGAAGTAAGCCCCTCAAGGTCCCTGGGCCCAGACCCTGCTCCCTCACCAGATCCCAAGTTCCCACATCCCCACACCCCATGCCCATCCTGGCCTAACCTTGCGGATACGGCCGCTGCGAGTGCCGGCAAACACCACGGTGCGGCCACGGTAGTCGTAGGCGGCCACGGCGGTCAGGCCATCGTCCTTGTCCACGAACAGGGGTGTGCCCTCGATGGTGACCGTGCCACCCAGGGGCTGGTTGAAGTCCTGCCCGCAGAAGTCATCATCGATCTGCAGGGGCTGTGAGCAGGGACAAGGTGAGAGTCATACCACGGACACCTCCCTGGGGACGGGGCCTCCCAGTTGGGCCTTTGCAGTCAGGCCAGGGGCCAAGGAGGGTCTTCCAGGAACAAGCACACAGCCATTAGGCCAGGCTGTGCAGTCCAATGGAACAGGGGTCCTCAAGCCCACTGAGAGACAGAGAGATCGAGGCTGAAGCAAGCACATCTCCCATGTCTCCTGCACCTGGCTCTGCACAGAGCACAGCCTGGGGAGCCACTGGCCCCTGAATGGCACGACCTCAGTGTGGGAGCCACCAAGCAGGCAGGACCCTCATGTGTCAGGCCTGCTGCTCTGGGGGCCCTACCAGTCACAGCGGCAGCTGGATAGAGGTGGGTGCAGCCTGGCGTGGGGAGCTGGGTCTTCGCTCAGAGCACTGAAGAGGGTAGAGACCCCAGTGGAGTTCCTCCCAATGGGAGGGAGCCAGTCACACCTCCAAGGCACAGGAAGGGACTGTGGAACGGGTAGCAGGGAGGCAATCCATAGCACGAGGTGCTGGGGGGCCGGGGCGGGGGCAGGCAGCTACTTACTGAGAAGCCAAGGAGAGGGAAGGGCAGGGTGAAAAAGCCGAAGGCACAAGTAAGATGACAACTTGATCCCGCTACAAGCTGGGAGCAGAGAGGCCATAAAGCAGATGCCTTAGGGGAGGTTGTGCCAGAGCTGGGAGCCATCGGGGAGCCCTCCTGGGAAGGGTGGGGCTTGGACACGGACAGGGCAGGCAGCATGATGCTGGGGTCCATGCAGTAGATGTGGGGGACATGAGGGGGTGAAGAGTGTTCCATTGCAGGCAGGGCCGCAAGGAATTTCCCGCTGTTCGGCAGGGCCCACCCGGGCGGATGTCTCTACAACCACCTGAATGCAGCTCCACCTTCTTTTGCATGGACACTGGACCACTCTGCGGAAGAATTCTAATCCATCCTGGCATTTGCCACTGCAAGGTTAACCTTTTGCTCAGCCTGAGCTTGGAGGTCAATGTCTTGCAAATGGGGCCCTTTATCATTCCTATTGTCTTGGCTGTCCCCATTGAACCTATGCTAATCAAGGGACCTGTATTTAGGCTTTCATTCTTTCCTTGATCTTTAAGTTCTCCTTTTCTTTGTGATACAAGATTGAATTGTAGGATAAGAATCCTAGCAGGAACTTCTAGGTAATGTTAGCAGGAACTTCTATTGTTTCTAGGTAAAACTAATGGCAGAATTATCCTTAGAAACACCCACTTGTTCATGACGTAAAAAGTCTGAGCCAGAATTTGACTGATTTTGTATAAATAAAGCGGACAGCTTTTGTGCATTGTCCATTATGATCATGAACTCCTAGTGGTCCGTCTCTTTCTTTCCTCTTTACGCCTCATCCACGCACCCTTCTCGAGTTCCGAACTCAGCTGGAGCTGGACTCCGGCAGCATGAGCTGTCCCTGAGCCCACACGGTGGAGAGGCCTGGGAGAGGTCGGGCGACTGCATCCACCACGGGTACCTGGGTGGTCCCCACAAGGAGTGGTACTCCCAGCTTAGAGGGCAGCAGCCTCAGAGGGCACGGGCCTGGCCTCGGGTGCTTGCCTGGGAACTGCCTGCTACCCCAGAGTGCAAAGGAGACACTGCCCAAACAGAGGCTGGTACAAGGCCAGCCCACAGTGGGCACCTAAGGAGAAGCGCAGGGGGTGCTACCCAGCACATGGTATGTCAGGGACAGAGTGCTGCCTGTATGCAATGACATCCACGCCCACTGCTGCCAAGGAGGTGGAAGCCCAAGGACACAGAGCCACCATCACTCCAGAGATACTGTCGGGGGCCTATGCAACCAGATAATATCCTAGCTCTGCCTCTACTGGCTATGTGACCCTGGACAAGTTGCCCCACCTCTGCATCTTGGGGACGTTGTCTATAAACTAAGGATAAATCAAACAAGCAAGATGGCGAGGTGGCATAACCAGTTAAACTGCTGCCTGCAACACCTGCATTCCATATGAGTGTTGGTTTGAGTCCCAGCTACTCCACTTCTGACCCAGCTCTCTAGTAACGGCCTAGGAAAGCAGCCAGTACTCACCGAGTTGATGCAGCCCAGCTCCTTGTTGAGCAGCCAGGGCAGCGAGAGCTTGCCCTCGCCGCGGTAGCACGATTGGATGCGCTCCTTGATCTTCTCCTTGATGGCCCTGAGCGTGAAAAGGCACAGCGCCGACTCCTTGGGTGGCTTCACGCGGTTCTTCTGGCCCTGGGCAAACACGGTGAACAGCACCTCCTCGTCCTCTGCCAGCCCCAGCTGCTGGGCCAGGGCACGGCCAGGCCGGCTCAGGTAGGCATCTTGCACCAGGCGGTACTCCACGCCCGCCTGCTCGCAGCCAATAGGGAACTCCACGTACGAGTAGAACTTGGGGTCGTCCACGCACAGCCGCACGATCTTGGAGGTGAAGAAGTGCTCGCCAGCGGCGTCGGGTGAGGTGAGCTGTGTGTCCAGCTGCAGGGTGAGGTAGTAGACAAACTGCTCGCTACGGAAGCTGTACACATAGTAGATATCAAAGGCCGGGAACTTGGACAGGGTGTCGGATGGGATCTTGAGCTGTGACGATACGAACTCATCCTGGTACACGAAGCCGAACATGTCAGCATCCTCCTCGTTGGCCATGAGGCGGCGGCTGGACAGCGTGGGGAAGTACTCGGACTTGCCATCGATGGGTGTGCCCACAAACAGCTTGGCCTGGCCCTGGCCCGGCGGCCCTGCGATGAGCACGCCAGCCATGCTGCCGGCCTCACGCACACTCGAGAGGTAGTGCTCCTTGCGGTGGTGTGGCTCGCCCAGCTTGAAGAGGTCGTCGAGCCGCAAGAACTGGCAGATGCCCTGGGAGGCACTGCCGCAGGCCAGCAGGCGGTTGGCGGCATAGTCCAGCAGCAGCAGCTTGTTGACATTGTCGGTGCTGCCCAGGCCGTGCGGGCACGACTGCACGCTGGGGGGCGGGTAGCACTTCTCGTTGTCCTCCACAGGGCCTGTCACATGTGCCCGAAGCAGCGTCAGGTTCCCCGAGAGCTTGTAGATGCGGTTCACTGCGCCCACATACACCTCGCCCGTCTGCTCGTGGACCACCAGGTGAGTGAGGCCCCAGTCACTAGCCGGAAAGGTGCGGAAGGCGGGCTGTGTGCCCCCACCCAGCCTGGGCGTGCCTACCACTTGCTGTGTGCCCCCCAGGAGCAGTGGCAGCAGCAGCATTGGAAGTGCCCACGGGCTCTGAGGTGGCAGCGGCATGGCGGGTAGGGGCCTCAGGCTGAGCCACTCAGGTCCTGCAGGGGTGGGCTTCATGGGGCTGGGAGCCTCAACCCTGGGGGAAGAATGGGCGGGACAGGGTCAGTGAGGGTGGGCATGGCCTGCACACCCACGACAGTGCCCCCATGTGCAATCTATCCCTAGAGCCATCCCTGCTGCATCTCCAGCAGGCAGGATCTAGCTGGGGCGAAGCCAGAGGCAGAGGAGAGGGCAACTCCTTGGCCCAGGGCTCTGCAGTGAGGGTACACTACATGTTGCCACGACCAATCAAGCTGCAGCTACCCCAGCTGCGGACAGCACCAGTTCGAGATGCAGGAGGGAGACTGGGGGCAAGGGCCTGTGGCCTGGGTTGGGACTGGCCGGATGGCATATCCAGGCCCTCCTTCCCAGGCTGGGCGACCTCCTTCCTGCTCCAGCTTCTTGGGGGCAACCACCACCACAGTCACCCACTCATCGCCACCTCCACAGTGCTTGCCACTACTGTCTGGGGCTAGCCTGGGCAGGAGGCTAGCAGGCCTGTGGGCACACACAGTTAAGTGACGTCAGCTCTACTCCCTGTACTTTTCCTACTCCGCCTCATGGGAGTGAGGCACTCCTTGGGTGCTCACAACAGCTTTGGACCCACCAGGTCCTCTACTCACACTCACAGCAGCCCCCGTGGCAGGCAGCACAGCCCATTTGGGGACAGTTCCAACGAAGCCATGTCTGATGGGCAGTGGTGCTCAGCATGGCTGGAGGTGGGCCAGGTTACTGGGATTCCAGTGCCAGAGACACTCCCCTGGCTGACCTCCAACACTGCACTTTAAGCAATGACCTAAAAGCCATACAATGGGTATAACCTCCTGTCTATGTCCACACTCCAGCTCACTGGTACACAAGCCCCAGCCCACTGCCCCTCAGCTGTCCCTCCCAATCTCACCTGCCATCAGCCGACAGCCAGCTCCTAGGATGGAGGGAATCCTGCAGACAGGGAGCGTGCCAGCACCCCATGCCCAGCCCTTGGCAGCAACCCTCTTTTCCCAGTTTGGTACCTCCACCCCCACGCAGATGCCAGGCCTGACCAGATCTGTGTGTTCTCCCTTAGACCAGAGGCTCACTGCCGCTGTGCCCCAGCACTGCCCACTCCACAGCTCCCACTCCACAGCTCCCCCAAACTGCTCCCCAGCTGCTGCCCCCAACCCACAGCCATTACGGCATCACGGCCTGCAGGTCACCTGCCACTGGAAAGTCCCCCTCCGCTGCCCACCCTTCTCCCACCCCCTGGCTTGACAGCAGGTGGCCACACAAAGGGTTAAGCCTGTGGCTCTGCACACACAGGGACACTCCCTTTCCTGGCCTGGGTTTCCCACTCTGTATGTAAGGAGGATGACGACAGCTCCTCTCGCGGGTGACAGCAGGAAGGTCGTGGCATGCCCACGAGGCACTGTCAGCAGAGCCGCCCACTTGGGGCCAGCAAGGGCCCTACCCTAAGCGTGCACAGTGATGCTGACCTGCACGCTGGCAGGTGCCACCTGGGACTGCCCACATGCTCCCCTGAACTTCTAGACAATGCCTCTCACAGAGCTAGGCAGCCCCCACTTCACAGGTAGAGAGGCTGAGGCCTGAAGATGGAGCCTTCTGCCAAGTGCAGGCAGGGAGCTGGCTGTTGGCCACTGTGCCGGAGGCCTCGGGACCTGCAGGTCCGTCCTTAGCTAGCAGACTGCTCTGTCTGCCCCACCTCCCAGCTCAGGTGTCGGCCCAGCGTCCCTCTGACCTGCTTGCCATTTTGCCCTGTAGCACAGCACGGCTAACGGTCTGGGACAATGCCATTCCCAGATCCCCACCAGGATGGCGACTCTGAGGGCAGGGAAGGGGAAGGGCTGCCTCTGTGGAAGTTTGCTGCTTTCTCTCTCTGCTATAACTTCTCTGAGTCTCAATCAACACTTGTAAATGAATGAATGGGCACAAGGAGTGGTACCCACTCCTTGCTCTTCCCCATGCCCCTACATGCCCCTGCCCAGCGTGTAGCCACTGCCCAGCAGGGGAAACGGGAGCAGCTCCGGCCAGGACGTCACGCAAGCCTTGTGTGTCCCCCTCCTACAGCTGTCAGCTGCCTCCAAAGATGGTCAGGAGGGGTGTCCTTCCAGCCCTGTCGCCCCAGCCCCTCCCTGGAGCCCGAGGGGGACCAGGGAGCAGAAGCTCCTAGTGGTGGCAGCCAGGCCTGGGCTGAAAGCAGAGTAGATGTGAACTCCAAAGAAAACATGAATCACTCACCGTTTATCAGTTCAAAGCAGGCCTGCAATTACCAGGGGCTGGGCTCACCCCTCCTCCGGGGTAATTATACACATCGTAATGCAATTATGGGCCCCGCTTTTTATATTAAACAGGAGGGACCCGGCTGAAGAAGCCACCATCCAAACTCCAGCCTGGCCTTCAGCCCGCGCCCACGCCCCCCCAACAGAGGCTGCCAGGATGGGACTGGCGCCGGGGAGAAGGGAGCCTGAGCTCTGGCCTGAGTCCCTTGTACCCACCATCTGGCAAAAGCCAGTGAGGGGGCTCGGGGTACTTCCCTGAGATAGAGGGCTCAGGGCTCCCACAGACCCAAGGTCACCCTGCCAGTCCCTACAGGGCAGAGCCCAAATTCCAAGCTTCTATGGGAAACCAGCTGCCCTGCTGAGGCCCCACTTCTCCAGGCCTAATCTGTCCAGGGAAAGCAAGCATTCATCCCCAAGCTGTGCCTGGGTGCTGGGGGCAGGGCTGGCTCTGGGAGGGGTGTGCCAGCAGAGGCTGAGTTTCAGGAAGAAGGGCAGAGCCCTGAGACCTGTAGAGGCTCCCTGTGAGGGTCTTCCACCTGCTCTGGAAGAACCAGGCACCATGGCAGCTGGGAAGGGAAGGCATGCTGTGGTGGCAAGAGTCTGAGCGAACAAGGGGCCTGGGAAGAGTGGGCCCCCAGGGGGAAGGGGAAAGCTGGACGGGCGCTGGATGGGGAGAGGCCAGGCCACAGACAGGTGCAGGCTGTGCCAGGGGCTCCTGTCCTGGACAGGAGAGCATTGCTGATTGGGAAAACCCACACCAGGTCATGTTCCTTTCCCTCTCGCAGCCCTGGGTGATACCAGGGAGTCCTTCTCACCCTTGGTAACAAATGCCACCCACCCCCCTCAGCCCTCTCCACGGCAGGACAGACTGCTTCCCATGCCCTCCCCCCGGGGAATCCTCCCAGGGCTCCCAGACGGTGGGATATGGAGGTAGGGTACAGAGGGCACGCTACCTTGCCCAGTGGCTCCCCACCCTGCCCCAGCGGGAGGTGGACCTGAGTGGCCCTGCTTACATCAGCAGCCCATTGCGATCACAGAAAAGTGCATGCCCTCAGCCAGGTCCTGCCTCCAAGTGTCTGCTCCACACTGCTGGGCACAGCATGGTCCTCGGGACACAAAAGGTGCAGGCCACCACCCTGGAGCCCCAGGGTCCAGTGCAGGGCCATCTGCTTTGTCCTCGGAGCCCACCGGTCCTCCACCCTCAGAGCTCCACCTCAGCTTCCTTCAGTCCCGCCAGCCTAGTGCACTAACCCTCACCCCTGCGCCTGCCCCTCCAGCTGACTGCAAGTCTGGCCCTGAAGCACAATCGCCGGTTTGCAGATGGGTTCTTCCAGGGCTGGGCAGTCTTGGGGAGTCCCATGCACGCCTTCCGCCTCCGCTACACTCCCCACAACAGAGCAAGGAACCTCGGGTGTGTGTGCTACCCAGGCGCGAGGGACACCAAGGGCTGCAGTGCTCAGCCTGCCAGGAGGTACCCATGCCTCAGGAGCCCAGCTGAGGGGCAGAGGCTCCACTACTTCCCCTCCCCCTCAACACACCCCTTTCTTTCAAGGGGCGTGGCCCCAGTACCCCACGGGCAAGCCAGGGGCAGTTGCCAGTTCCAGGCAGTACCTGGGACAGCATAGGGGATGGGGGGGATCTCCCTGGAGTCCCCGCTACCCACTCCCCACACAGCTCTGAATGTGCCCAGCACAGCCGCCGGCTACATTGCATGCCAAGCCGGGGACTGTCCAGGAAGCTATCGGAAGCCTCCGAGTGAAGCGGTCTGACCCTGGCGAGGCCCAGCAAGGGGGAGGCCCAGGAGGCTGCGAACGGGGCGGCCTGCGAGCGGCACCCGCACCCCCTCTCCCAGCCCGACGGCCCTGGGCTGGACCGGGCGCCCTGCTCCAGGAGCCCCGGGCCAGAAGAGGCGGAGAGGGGGCAGCGATCCCCGGGAGACGGCTCCAAGTACCCCCCACCCCTCCCACAGCGTCTGGGGGGCCGGCCGAGTGCACAGACCCCTCAAGATCTCCTCCCGGCTCCCGCGGCCCTGCCCAGGCGGCCGCCGAGCCCTGCCCGGGCCTGCCCAGCTCGGTCCTCGCCGGCCGCCGGAGGTCTGCGCCCCGCGCGCGGTCCAGCGGCCGGGTTCGGCCTGGGCATCAGCAGGGCCCTGCCGGCGGGGCCGCCGCAAACTTTCTCCTCAGCCTTTGAGGAGGGGGCAGCGCCCGCCTCCTCCGGGCCGCCCCAGGGAGCTGCCCAGCGGAGCTCTGCGGGCCGGGCCGGGCCGGGCCGGGCAAGGAGAGGCCGGCGGCCCTGTGCCTGGGGCCGCGGTCCGATCCCGGCCGGGCGGGGACGCGGCAGCTCAGCGGCGGCGCCGCGGCCGCGCCCGGACACAGGCGGGCGCCCGGGCCAGAGACGCAGGGACACGCGGAGCGCGGACACGCGCGCCGCAGTCCCCCGCGCACACCCCCTGCTCGCCCGGCCGCACCGAGGCGCCTTCGCCGAGGCCACCCCCCGCCCGACCGGTGCCGGGCTGCCCCCTTCCTCCTCGGGGGGCCAGAGACCCTGCACCGGCCCCGTGACCCCCGCCTGCCCTGGCCCGGCTCCCCGCCCACCGCCTCGCGCAGCGCCGCGGGGAAAGTTGCGCCCCGACTCACCGGCTGCCCCGGGGCGCGCCCCGCCGCCGGCCATCGTCGCGCCCCGTCGCCCGCGCCGCCGCCGCCGCCGCCCGCCCCGCCACGGGGCCGCCGAAGCCGCG